AACTTAAAACCGTGTTTGGGATTGATTTTGGCATGATCAAAATCACTTTTATCATGGTCAAAATCACTTTCTTTCATTGACGATGTCTGACAAATTAAAATTTTGATTTTAGGAAAGGGTAATGTTTAGTAAATTATAAAATTGATTTTTAAGAAAACTTAAAACCGTGTTTGGGATTGATTTTGGAATGATCAAAATCACTTTTATCATGGTCAAAATCACTTGATGATGTTTGACAAATTAAAATTTTGATTTTAGGAAAGGGTAAAAGCACATTGATTTTTAATTTTAAAGTATTACTTGCATGATGATTTTGGAAAATAAATTATACTTAAATCTATTTTTTCAAAATCAATAATTTTACATCACTCCCAAATACACCATAAAATCTTGACGAGTCTGAGAAATCAATTATACTTGAATCTAGTTTTTCAAAATCACTCATTCCACTCCCAAACATACCTTAAAAGAAAGATTATCATATTGATAGAATTATAAATAAGTCTTTTTTTTTACCAAACAAACAAAACAATTTTAAGATTTTAAATATAAATTTAAGCATAGTTCAAGGCATGCAGTACTAAATTAAAATGAAAATTCATTTTTCCACACGTTGTTGAGCTTAAAAGGGAAAAGCAAAGGAAAAAAACATAAATGATTTGAAATCTTTTAGCTCTATGTTTTAAATTTGGACAACATAATAGACTTGTCATTTTTTCTATTTATTTATGACTAAATCATCGCAACTTTGACTTTTTTTTTTTAATAGGTACAATGTATAGTTTTATTTGATAGTTTGCATTTGTGAATTATTTGAAGACATTAGGGGTATTTTTTCCACAAAATGGACCATTGGAGTATGAAATATAATAAACAACTAGATAGACTATTAACACAAATATAATATTTTCTCAAGTTGTCGCTATATAATCTTATTATTTTCTTTTAGTGTGGTCACAATAGAATCAATCAATAAACAAATGTAAATAATATCAAATGATATAGATATTTTATATCGTTAAACACAACAAAGTTTTTTTTTTTTTTTTTTATCTAATTGATTCATTCCGTAGATTATTTACAAGAAGCAACAGTAAAAGAAAACAAAAAAACTATTATCGTTATATCTAGATATAAAACAAACCCTCAATTTTAATTTATTAATACAAAACAAATCTATATCTATCTATATTAAAATGGGATATCGGAAAAATATTTTTAAACGTTTTTGTCCCTTCCTTAATTTTTTAATTTACAAATCATGTCGTTAATAATTATAAATTAATTATTCATTTTTAATTATCAATAATAATAAATGTATAAGATCTAAACAATGTTAGAATATGAAAAAGGTTTTCTACGTTATAAAATTAATTTTTTTTCTTTAATTACCATTCATATTAGAATTTCAAAAGTTTTGTAACGTTTTATCTCTTACTACTTACTGTAAAAACATATTTTATTTCGCTGTTTTTTTCACAACACTTAACTCTCTCAAAACATTACTCTCAAATATAATTTAAATATTTTTTTAACCATTTTAATTATAATATGAAGTTAGATGGAAAATACTCGTACATTTGTATGTGGTATCGAACCAGTATGCTACATTTAATAATAACAGCATGATGTGTTTCAAAATCAATATGAATATTTGATTTTGATTTTTTTTAAACAATATGTGGGAGTGAGGGTTCGAACTCATGACCTTTTAGTTGGACATAAGTGTCTTAACCACTTGAGCTATGCGCAGTTTTTAACTTTGATTTTGATATTCTAAACATGAAAAAAAAATCAACTAATATATTAAAGAAATTACTTTGATTTAATTTTTAGCATATGCTATGTTAATACATTTTAGTATCCACCGTCGTAGTTGACAAGAGGCTAGTTTTTTTTTTTTTTTTCATTTTGTTTGGAGTACGCAGAGGCTAATTACGTAAAAGAACTATGCTGGAAAAAGGGTATTTACGTAAAAGGTCGCAATGGGCCCAAGGGTGAGCCCAAAATGATATATGGAGGAAGCTGTATTAGTTGTTTTATTAAGCCCACTGGGCCCAGAGAAGTACGCCCCACACAGCGCGTGGCGAACGTCGTATTGCCAGCGATTGGATGTCACCACTCGACTCTCGTCCACGTCGATTTTGGTTTTGAAACGGCTTCCGCCGACTTAAATGGTGAATAAAACCAACTGTATAATATATTATTATTCAAATGAAGTTATTTATCATTATTAATTTTCCTTCGAGATTATGGGAGGAACCCTACGATAAACAGGTGTCTGAGTATAGTTCAGGTTCTTCTTGACATTTCACTTTCATCGATCAAATTACATTTAATTAATTGATTTAAATAGTCATATCATAAAAAATTAATATATGAAATAAATTATCTTTATTTTGAAAAATTTTCCGCGTACTTCTTTTGTACCTTGATAACTGAATTTTTTAGATGTGAAAATGTACTATTTTCTTATTTCACACACAATAACAACTATACATTGAGGTTTTTAAATAATACACCAGAGAAGAAAATAAAATATAATAACTACCTTCCAACTAACTAAAGTAATTAATTAACTCTTCTAATAGAATTATTCTTAGCTCAGCAGTAATTGACACATATATCATAGGTCAAGAGTTCGAAGATCTCCCTACTTCACTTGGTGTACTAAAAAAAGAACCATTTTATTATTTATTATTTATAAAACAAAATTGGCCATTTTATTTTCACTTATTGACTTATATAATTAAATGTTTTTTTAAGTTTATATAATTAAATGTTAAAACATTGTACCTCATCTGTTATATGAGGTCATATAACATAAATTCTGACTTTAAAAAGAAATGTTACCCAAACATATATTTGACAATACCGAATAAATTTTCATTGAATGTCTTGTTTTCGTAATTCTTTTCTCACGAAAGTCGCAAGTAAAAAAAAAAGGCGTAAAAGTGGCGTTTTAAAAAATTCTCCGTGAAAGGACCTCCCAAACACTTCCAGCCATAACTTTATGTAATAATTTGGTTGACATTTACGTAAATTCATAAGCCCAAAATCTTCGAACCAACTGAGACTCGCAATAATAAATTCACAATCAAGAGAGAGAGAGATTGACACGACGCGCAATAAATACAAACTCGCGAGAGAGAGAGAGAGAGAGAGACGTGTTTTTTTTTTTTCTCTCTAATTATTATTGTTATTTTTTAATAATGTAGTAATGGCGCGCAGGGTGCCGCATCACCTGCGAGTTATTAATTATCATAGTCCGCAGGTCGTTTCGTTTGCAACGTCCGAACGCGCGAAACGGAAATCCATTTCTAAACTTGGCGGAATGTGATTGGCTGACATCTAATTCCTGTTTTCCCAATCAAATTAGATGTGTGATCCGTGATAGAATTAGTCCTACTTCCCGTGGTAAACTTTTCGTTTGATCCTCGAATCTTCCATCTACGGTTGCATTCACACCCAAAAGCCATAATAATTGATTATTCTCCACTTTTTTTTTTATGTCAAATGAGTTAATGATCAATGCATTTTAAAACGAACCAGCATAGTTTAGTAGACAACGACAGTAAAACTTGTTTCAATTTAAAGTCGACAATTCGACAAATGTAGAGATGAGTCTGTTGCATCTATTAATATTTTTCAAGGTCGATGGTTACACCTCAACTCTACTTTTGTTGAACTAAAAAAACAAAGGGTACGGATGAATAAAGTAATAAATGTTAGATGTGTGAAGTCGCATCATTGATCTTATGGATGATCTTATATATATTTGAATTAGTGGACATTCAAATGTTTTAGATTAATAAAATATGCAATATTCATTCCATATGCATCCAGCTACGAATCGCTAATTAAAAAAATGTAAATTCAATGCTATATAGCATAAGTGGTATTTGTTTATAAATATGAACATTATTTAGTTAAACAGTGGCAGAAATTGATATTTGAACCATAACATTTGTGATGATAACATATGTCTTATCAACTAGAATTATGCTCGAACTCAACACTTAATACCTTGTTGGATGTGCAAGGGAAATGCCAACAAACAAAATCTAAGTCTCACATTAGCTGGGTAAAACAATGATCCATGATATATAGAGGAAGACAATTATTTCTGTTGATACGGGATTTTTTAGGTGAAACAAAAAACAAACCAGGATATGATAATTTTTATATCTATATTCCCGTAAAAAAATATATATCTATATAGATATATTATTGATTAATATTATTTAGGTGAATGTATAAGAGTGTTAAGGTAAAATATCTACATGCATGTGATTAATTGGGCAATGCGTCTCACCCACTTCAACTTCTACCATTTCAATATTTAGATACTCGTTTCCTGATTAAAACCCTCAATTTGATCTACTAATTTTCTAATTAAATATAAACAATTCTGGACACATATTTAAAGATAATTTTTTTCTTTATTTTTCCACATCTTTTATTTTACTTAATTTTATTTGCAAACGAAGAGACGTCAAACAGCTAAATTTATTAAGAGAGAGAGAGAGAGAGAGAGAGAGAGAGAGAAATTTGAGTTGATTAGTTCGAGAACGTGGAATTTCTTTCTCGTATTGTGGAGAAAATATCGTGCTTTAATTTTCTCCCTATATTTTTTAAGATAAGAAAACTAATTATATCAGAATCAAAATTAATTAGGACTTCATTTACTTGCTTATTTTAGAATGTATAAAAAAAGAAACGCATCCACTATTTTTCTTGCGCGAATTATGTAGACTAGGGTAGAGTCGAGAACACCGGATAATCTGTCACCAGATCTCCGAACGGCAAGGGCATTTAAGTCATTTTAGACGTTCCTTTTTAATTATTAGTTTTATCTTTTTGTTCCTAATATTTACACCCGTACAGGGAGCAGCCAAAAATTCAATCTCAGCCCTTCAATTCCAAAAGTCGAACAAGAGCCACAGGATCGAAAAAGAAATCCAACGGCCAAAAACAAGCTACTAGAACCTTCTAATTCTTCAGGAGCTGCTCTTAAATCTTTCCGCTATTTTACTCGACCCCGCTATCCCGTGACTGCCTCGTGCCATCCTTGTGAATCCTTCTCCACTCTATTTTCCGCTTTCAAGGTTTGCGTCGACTTGAATTCTTTTTCTTTCTGTAACATCTTTGTAATTCATTTCATCGATCAATCCATTTTCTAAGATCGAATTGATTTTGTTTGTTGTTCTTAGAATCTCAGCTATGGGGAAGAGCTATCCGACAGTTAATGAGGAATACCAGAAGGCTGTTATGAAGGCGAAGAGGAAGCTCAGAGCTCTCATTGCTGAGAAGAACTGCGCTCCTTTAATGCTTCGTCTCGCGTTGGGTTCTTCGTCCGATTATGATTTGGATATGATTCTTCGATTATCAATGGTGATGTTTTACTGTGGCTGTATCGTGTGATTGCAGATGGCACTCTGCCGGAACGTATGACGCTAAGACCAAGACGGGAGGGCCCTTCGGTACGATGAAGCACGCAGCGGAGCTCGCACACGGTGCTAACAATGGCCTTGACATCGCCGTCAAGCTGTTGGAGCCGATTAAGGAACAGGTGCCGATCCTTTCCTACGGTGACTTCTACCAGGTACAGTACAATCATTGCTATCATTATCTTCGCATTGTTCATAGAAGGTGATATTGAATAGTGTACGTATTGAATCCGAGAACAAACAAATGGTGTAATGTGTTTTTCTTATTAAATCTTGCATTCGGTAATTTGTATTCTGTTGTATGATAGCTTGCTGGAGTTGTTGCCGTTGAAGTGACCGGTGGACCCGAGGTTCCGTTCCATCCTGGCAGAGAGGTAGGTCAAGCCTTAAAATCTATAAATGATTCCGATATCAATGGTGGATGAACTCTATTTAGGTTCTACATTTGCTTCGTTTCCAGTTGGCCGTCTATTTTGACATTATTATTGTCCGGATGAAAATCTATTATATACAACCGAGTTCTCGACGCTGTTACACCATTAGTTTGATCGTGTTTTTGGGGTAATAAGTATTTGAAACTCTTTTGTGATCATATCACGAGTTCATTTGATACTTGTCAGTTAATTGTTTACTTGCGGTACTACCGATCGGTTTTCCATGCGCGAAATTTGAATGGATCCTCTTCTTCCTCTAAAGATCCACTATCTGTATCATTAAATGTTTTATCACAATTCCCAGCCTCCTGGCCAGTCAATCGATAAACTGATGATCTTGAACTCTAAAACAACTCTACTGTGTATTCTCTTTGAAACTTTTTAGTGCAAGTCTACACGGCATTTGTAGGATGTTCCTTGTTCGATCTATATAGTTAGCCTGATTTTGAGAACAAAAACATTGCTAATCTTTTGTAGTCTTTGAGCTCTTTGGCTAGCTTTGCTGGTTATATTTTTTTCCTCCTGAATTCATTCATATAGCATCAATATTTAGTACCTTTCATTTCAATGCTGATCGTGTCATCGCGTTTCCAACATCAGGACAAGCCTGAGCCGCCGCCTGAAGGCCGCCTTCCTGATGCCGGAAAAGGTGCATATATTAGAAATAATTTCGATGCCATAACATTCAAGGAAAGCAGTATGCTCAATGGATTATCACTCTTTTTCCAGGTTGTGATCATCTGAGGGATGTTTTCTACACGATGGGTCTCAGTGACCAGGACATCGTTGCTCTATCTGGTGGCCACACTCTGGTCTGTTTCGATTCTGAATCTGCTCGCATGCGTATTTCAATCATTTTTCATTATTTTACTGACTTTTCCCATATGGGGGTCCTGGGTATTCTTTTGTAGGGAAGAGCTCACAAGGAGCGATCTGGATTTGAAGGTGCTTGGACAGCAAATCCTCTTGTCTTCGACAACTCTTATTTCAAGTGAGTTTTGCTCGCTTCCTGATGCAAATCAATTTCGATAATATATGAAGATTTCTTTCTGAATTTTAGGTAATTTTTTGTTTCCATTTATTTTGTTAGGGAGCTCTTGTCTGGAGAGAAGGAAGGGCTTCTTCAGCTGCCATCTGATAAGGCGCTTCTGACTGACTCTGTCTTCCGTCCACTTGTCGAAAAATACGCTAAGGTATGGTATATAATCTCTTTCCCACTTGTTTTTGTTTCTTACCAGTGATATCAAATTTCTTGACAATAAATGTTACTAAGTTTAAATCTAAGAAGACTCCAACACGAGTGACCAGTCATTTTCACGTTTATTAAAATATATAATTTTTTAAACGTATATATCACTTTGATAACAAAGGACATTTTTATTCTTAAAAAGAGTCAGATGTATAGATCTATATTCACTTTGTAGTTTGTACAACTACCGTGTGACCCACATGTATTGAGCTAATAAGTGTTTGATATGTACCGTCACACATGTATTGAGCTAATAAGTGTTTGATATGTACCAAATAACTCGTAAGTTTCGCAATTTAGTGCATTTTTTTTCCAATTCATGTTAGCATTTTGTGTACAAATTTGAGATTTGGTGATATATACTTGTGGCTGTATTATCATTTTCCCTGCAGGATGAAGATTCCTTTTTTGCTGATTATTCCGAAGCTCATCTGAAACTCTCAGAGCTAGGGTAAGTTCTAATCAAATCTTTTGATCAAAGTAGCTTGTTTAATTTCTATGTTAGAACTTTGGCGAATGACAGTTGCCCCACCTTGTAATTTACAGATTTGGCGATGCTTAAATTCCCCAGAGGATGGATGAGAAGTAGAAGAAAAGAAGATCAAACGCCGACGCTCGTATGCTTTATTTTCCTGGTTTTGATTTCATTAAAATCGTTGGCCCTTTGAAGTTGTTTTGTTAAGGATCTTTGTTGGTGGTGGCTCATTGCTCCTTTTTTTGGCTGTAGTTGAATTGGAATTACACATTAGTTTTCTTTTGAAAATAATATTTTTCACCCACCAGCTGTTGCGTTGTTGTTACCTTCCTTCTTTTCTTTCTTCAGACAATCATCACTTTAAACTATGCCTGCTGTGACTAAATTTGAGCTCAATAGATAAAGGAACTAAAAGAATGATTTTAATACTAGGATTCATAATTATTAAGTAAATTTTGTTTCTAAATTACTAATCTCATCTTTTACATAAAAAAAAAAAGTAAAGTGCCAGTAACTTCTTAAACAGTGGTACAGCCAGGATAAGTGACAAGTTTCAATTATATTTTTGAATTTTAGGATAAATTTCAATTATGTATTTATCATTTCAAAAGTTCCGATTTAATTTTTATCACATTCAAAATTGTCTTTATTAGAAGGTAAAAACCACACCCTTTTTAGCACAAACATTAGAAAGAGAGAAAAGAGTTCATGACAGTAAATATGTTCATTATGGTCCAAAAATTTGTTTGTCCTTAGTTTACTTCTATCTCTCAAACTTTTTTTTGGTTCGACCATCTTTTGATTGCGATGGGAGACTATCACATTTTTGTTTTCTATTGCTCGACACAATTTCATATTTCAATCTTCATTTTAAGTGGGTAAATGAATGAAAAGGTTGTTTTTAAAAAAATTGAAAGGTTAAAAGATTAGAATTTATTTTAATAAATAATGGTATAAATGAAAATTTACCTCGTGTATTTTTATTTTACAAGTCACACTTGCCCTAAAAAAAAAGGTTGATAGAAGTATAATATATATATATATATATATAAAAAAGTTGATAGAAGAAGATAATTTAAAAAATGTAGTGATATTATTGAAATTTTCACCCAAGGTGGTGCAGTAAAANAAAAAAAGAAAAAAAAAACAAAAAAGAGGCGTACTGCGTATATATACTTCTCGCGCCCGCACTATAACAAAGGGCGGAAAAGTTCAGTGGTTACTTTTGCAGATTTTCCTCAAAAACAAAATGTTCATATATATACGGCCTTTGAGTTATCGTCTGCCCCTTGATCGTCTCTTCACAATGATCTTGGTCTTTTCTTCTAATCCGTCGACGCGCGCGAAAATCACAGAAAACTGGTGATGGCAGAAACCAGACTATTTGTTGCCAATTCATAGATTTGTGATTTTCTTGCGATTGTGTGCATTATAGTTCAACTTTCGACACTCCCGTCGAACTCTTCGAGACGATTCTTTATCTCAAATTTCAACCTCCGATCTAGGCGATACTTCCTGGTGCGTAATCTTTTTTATGTTCGACTCGTTCTAATTGTGTGCGTTTTTCTGGCCGTCTATGATTCATTGGAACTGGAATGAAAAGTCATTTGGTTTGGTTTGGTTTTTGGCTTCTTGCACTTTGATTCTGCATCCGAGACCGGCGTAGTCGCAAATTAGAAGATCGGATAAACTTTGAAGGAGATCGAGTTGCCTGGCATCTCCTGAACTGTGAATTCTGTGAGTTCTGAATCTCTTACTAAACTTAAACTAGTACTTGTTTTTGTTCAGCTTCTTCTACGTGCGACTGCATCATCTCTCAAATTTAACAGTATGCGAAAATGTAATTTCGTTTAGTCCTCCCGCTCCCGGTGCAATTTCCTCTGTTTTTGCGCATTTTCTTAATCTACACGACGGATTCGGACTGTAATTTCGTCTTGTTTGCTTTGATTGTTTAACATATGGTGAATTTCCGGCCATCTGTGGGAGCCAAGTCTTCCTGCCCTAATTTCCCCTGTAATGCCGATTCGAGTGGTTATTATTTGGTTGCATGAATTGTTTCTTCATAATTTTGTTAAGTTCATTTCGTTTTCCACTCTCCTTGCTCACGAAGAAGTTCAGTCAAATACTTGACGCACTTTTTCTCCATCTATGTTTCGAGTTCGATCTTTGAACCTCTTGACGAGGACTGAAATTTGAGAGCAAATCAGACAACCTCATCCTGTGCCAAGCCTTCATATATCTACAATTTCAAATTCTCAGACAATTCACTGATAGTAGCTCATTTTCTCCCTTGAACATTTTTATATTCAATAATTTTAGAACTATACTTTGCCTGCATCTCCTATGCGTAATTTCTCAATTAATCCGTGAAATCAAGACTCCGGAAAATTTTGCTCTCCTTGGACAGGAGCAGAACTCAAATTGTGTTCAATTTTACAATCTTATTCATGTAATGAATTTTTCTAAAGTAGAAATGCATGAATAATACTAATGCCTTTGTTATTTGTTTATTTATTTTTGTCCTCTATTAGATCGTGTAAAATTTGTATTTAGAAGTTTGCACGATCTTGAGAACCGTTTCTCGATGTTTTACTTCCATGTTTATTATGATGAAATGAAATCTGCCTTCTTTCTGACTTTCACCTGCTGCATGATTCATCACCAAAGGAACTGATTTATCACTCATTCTTCAACCTCAACATCCGACGAAAGAGACAGAAAGAGGTAAGCACGAACACCCTTACTTTTATAATATTATGCAGACATAATAGGAGGCACTATTAGCAAATCATATATTTTAATGCTATTATATAAAAAAAGTAGCAAACTGTTATAAACTTTTAGAAATATGACATTTAATAATTATTGAATTACAAAAGAAAAGATGACTAGAGATATCTTATTTCACCAATAGAAATTTCAAACTATTAGTTAAATGGAAATTTTTTATTTAGAAACCTGAAAAATAATTAAAATAGATGTAGTATAGTGGGGTGGAGGGAGTATGAACGATGGATAAAAATCATTGTTCTAAATTTCTAATTATAGTAAAAATAAGGGGGTTAATCGAAGCCCTAGCTTACGAATTAAAAATGAGGAGGAATTTGAACCTTGAATAAAAACTTTGAATCAATTGAAATATTTTAATTGAATTATTACTAATGAGTTTAGTTAGATTTCTTTAATTGAACTGGTGATTTAGTTAGATTTTGTTTAATTAAATTGTTACTAGTGAGTTTGCTTAGATTTATTTAGTTGAATCATCACTAGTGGGCATTTCATTCATAGTTTTCTTTTAACTCGTAATTAGATTTATTTGATAACTTTTTCCCTATATCGAATAATTTAACATCTATTTAAACATAAAATAATGGGTAATGATTATGAAAAAACATTGAATTTTTGCACATAATAATAGTTAGATCGATTTACCTATATCTTATGGAAGGGGTTGCCAAACTAGCGCAAGATTTTTCTTAACAATTAATTTCCCAAAAAAAAAAACACTTATTTCTCACCACTTCTTTTATATGTTTTTAACATTTCAAAAACATTTGAAATTCCTAGTATAATACCAGAAACCAATTTTTTTTTTTAATTTTCAAAATTTGGCTTAAATTTTGAAAACGTTTCTAAAAATCGGATAACAAAATAATGAAACATATTGATAAAAGTAGTGTTTATAAGTTTAATTTTTAATTTTTATCCAACACCTAATATGATAAAAGAATTATACTTATTTTTTCTTAAATGGAGCCGAAGCATCAAATTATTAGTAAGCCATAGGACCTATCTACCTGCTAAAAAGTGAGAAAATTAATATTGAAACTTGAACGATGGCCAATAACCTATAACTATGTTTGATGCACATACCTTTTGTGCAGGATACTTAGATTTAGGGATGCAAGTCAAAACTTGAAAAGAACAAATGATGAAATTAATTAAACTACACGTAATATGAAAAAGATAGAACTATAAAACTGCCAAAAAAATTAATAAATAATAAAATTAATGATTGATTCAATTTAGATTTAAGCCCCCTTTTTTTTATTGTACTCGAAAAAAGAAGCCCCTTTCTTATTGCCCCAAAAAGAAGATTCGGCTTCTCTTCGGCAAGCAAAAATCATTTCTTTAAGTTTTTTCGTTTTAAATCGGTTCAATTTTTATTTCAGCATTATTCTATTTTTCTTTGACCAATGTGTTAACTCAGCAGTAATTTTGGTCTCAAAACTTACTCAAATCAAATTGGACAACTTACACCCCTACTTACTATTTAGGTTGCAAGGTAATGAATTAAATTTTCATCGACATGTCAATATTTTCATGTGCCTATAGCCTTGACATCGACATGTGGGATAAATCAATATTTTTATAGTATGGTAAAAGGAAAAAAAAACAAAAAAAAATAAAAAATATCACTAGATATAATATTAATATTAATAATTTGTAATTGTTAATGCTCATTTGTTAATTTAAATGTTGATTGAGAACTTTTTACTTGTCTTGTAAAAAACTATCCGTCATCAATATTTTTATGAAATTGAGACCTTGACATTTTTATCAATATCGATATTTAAAATCTTGATAAGGATTAATTCAAGAGTTTTTATTAAAAAAAAAAAGAATATTACAACCACAACAAGTTCATTTTTAGTTGTATATTTAAAAATTAAACTTTGTTTCTTTGTTATATAATTTTTATAAACATTTTTAAAATCAAAGCAAATTTTAAAAACTTAAAAAAATTAAAAAAANTTATCTTTCTGTTTTGGCATAGATTTTGAAAACGTTTTTAAAGTATATAACAAAACAAAGAAACATGGGTGCAAGTATAGTTTATAAACTTAATTAAAAAAAAAAAAAAACTGAAAACAGAATGTTTATACTTTCAGATTTGTGAAGTTGGTAGCTGGAATTGCTAGAAGAATTTTAATGCTAAATGAGAAATTTTTTGTAGCTAAAACTTATGAGTCGTTATAACTAACTTGATTGAACTCTAAGCAAGGAATTTCCTCGTTTAATGGCATTAATAGAATAGACAGTTCAAGATGAAGGAAGGACCAGAGCATTTTTGCCCATCTAACCTGCACAACTCGGCTTCGTATACTACGGTATTGTGATGAAAGAACAAGAACTCAGACTGTTAGCGGCAAAGAATGAAAGGAAGTTATCTGGTTAACAGGATTCATCCACTTGGCTCGTGATAGTGCATTTTGTACAGTCAAATGGTCCGATCCCTTGATTATTTTTCCGTTTCACCTGTCAATTAACACAAAATAATATAACCCAAAGAGTATTCAACATCCATAAATTTGACAAACATATATTATGAAACTTGTTACTAAAAACTATATATATATATATATGTTTTGGTCGTTGAATTTTTAAGTTAATTTCATTTCAGTCCCTCTATTGAACTTGTTACTAAAGTATATACTAAATGAATGCAGCACAAAAATTTAAAGTTAGGAACAAAACTAATAGATATTTATGAAAGTTAAAAGTAAATTAGAGTTTAATCCATTCAAAAACATAGAGATAAAAAGAGGTCGGACTTGAAAAATAAGTAATAAAAATTGAAATTATTTGAAATTCATATTTGTTCCTAAAAATTACTCGAAAATAGTTAAAATAAATTCAGTAAATCTTGCTAAACCGAGTGTAGCTCACGCGGTTAAGACAATCTATCTCTGACCAAAAAATCATGAGTTCAAACCTCAACACCCCCAATGATATACTAAAAAAAAAAAATCAGTAAATCTTACTATCCAGCCCATATTGAAAACCGAAATAATTTATTGTTTGTGAAGTGGAGTGTAACGGTTGAGAGAGAATACCGGGGACCATGGACCTGGTTCTGGTTGAGACTTGTCGGGAGGTGAGTTTTTTACAGCGCCGGTTTTCATGGTCAGAATATCCTGCATTATCACCACGCAAACTAACAAATTATTCCAACTACATAGACAAATTATTCAAAATTTAGTGATGCTCATGTTGTTGGCGTCTCCCAAAATACTAGAAACCAGACATTGACATTATTACTTCGGCGAACCATAGAATAATTAGTTACTACAAAGAGGCACAATATGTAGATATGGCACAATGAAAATATTACTTTCAAACCTAGGAGGTTGAAAAGAGAGTAATAGAAATTTAAGGTAATATCACCTCTCCAGCAGCTTCAATTGCAGCCAACCATTCTTCAGAAAAAGGAACAGCATTTGTTTCAGTTCTACCTCCTTGCTTCCTGACATCCTCAGACTTTGTTCTGCCAATAAAATGGAGAGTTTCATTCAAGCATCTTTAGAAGAGAGAAAAGGCATGGAAGCAAAAAGTTCATCCACAAAACCAAGGTACTTACAGCTGCTGCATTGATTGCGCATTGTCGTCGCATGTACTACACGTTTCAGTATGCTCGGATGAGTTAGCAGTTGAATGCTTGGAACTTCTTGCTGACGCTGATATCTCCTGAAACTCTAAATTGTTGTGTGATGCCACCTGATTAGTGTAATCAATGACACCATTAGTGATAATTTCATCTTTGTACTCTTCAGAATTGCTTGTGTGCAGGTCATCATTCGAGCACTTCCCTTGATGGTTGTTCTGGGAAACATCTACTAGGTCAGTGCAACGATTTTGAAGTCCAGGCAGTTGATTAAAATCATTAACTGATGATTGAACATGGGAATTTTGTGGATCTTCGTTTGGTACTTGCTCTGATCCAATCTGTATTTGGGCTTCATACAGTTGGTTTTCTGTATCACTTGTACACAAGTCTGGATTTAATGGTAATGTTTCAGCCGCGTCAGTGTTCCTGGCAATTGCTACATCACCATAATCATCCAGATTCCTTTTCATTTCCAAGTCTGTGTTATTCTGCTCAATATTAGAGCTGATGTCTGCCATCTCATCTGTATGATCATTGCAATTTCTGACGACGGGACCAATGTCTAAGCAAGCATCTGCTGTTGAATGCTGAATTAAACAAAGATCAATCTCACTTTTCAAATTATTTTCACCGACTCCATTGCTTACTCCTGCCAAAATCTCATTCTCATGAGAATTAAAATCATGATGGGAGGTTAGCGAAGAACCTTCCCTTTGCAATGATTTGCTATTCGACATTGGAATCGTTGGCTTTTCATCATCAATGTGCATAGAGTCTGAATTAGACCAAGCGGAAGTACTTTGTATAGTGTTTTTGCATTCATTTGATATACAGTGATCAATGCCAGATGATTCTACTTCTTTTGTCCGTAATATTCTCATTCTACGAGTTCCCAAGGTTTCATCTTGTCCTTCATTCACGTCCTTCTCAAATGCACAGGATCCATTACCAATATTTTCCTCAAAGCTACCACCATGTTCCAAATCTATCGAAGATCTACTTCTCTTAAGTGAATTACAACTCCCGATCCCTGACCTCTGAGAATCAGAAGAAATTCGTTCAAGTATACATTTAGGAGAGTTTGGAAACTCAACTTGCTCCGAAGATGGTTCGTTGAAGTCTTGTGAACCATTTGACAGAGCCCTTGGTAAACCTTGTGAACCCAAGCCGTTCTTTTCACCAAGATGTGATTTGGTAGATTCACCAAAGTTGTTAAATGACAGATGACGAGGTTTGCATTCTGCTAATTGAACTTTAATCTCATCATGTATCCTAGAAACATCTCCAAAATTTTGTAACACGGGATTAGAAAGGGACAAAAGATCGGGTTTCTCCAGCCCATGGGCGCTCAAATCGTTGTTCATCGTAGAAGCGCCGACAACATTCACTTTCCCTAAATGAATGTTAGCTGCTTCGGAGATGGACTTCGCTCTATAATGGGAAACAGGTTGTACTGAAATACCCGAACTAAAGCATGAGACTACGTTGGTTTCTCCAGAAGCCTCACCGTTGCTTGCCTTCACAAAGTTTGTAGGTGCTAGTGCTGCCAACTGACAAGTATAGTTTGAAGGACCAGCTGTTCTCACATTGGGAATGTAAGATTTGGAAAGGTCGTGCGTTTCAGAAGTAGCTGGTGCCAGGTTTTGAAACGAAGAAACTTTTTTCTGGGATAGAAAATTTACAAATAAACAGAGAATAATAAGAAATACAAAAATTGAAGGAAAAAAACACATTTATCTAAAATACAACACTTGAATGAAACCTGGTGACTTTACCTGGCCAAAGAATCCCATTGATGGTGATGGCATTCGCAAACCTGATGGCTTTGGCATTTGGGTTTGACTAAGCATGCTGCCACCAGTAGGGGGAGCATTTTGAGTAATGGAAGCAGAGACTTTTCTGGTGCCATCATCGTTGAAAGGAATAAATTTCGAAATTAATGACTTTGAGGCCGCCTTTAACTCCTCATTTGAATCAGTGGACTCGTTTTGTAAATGAGAAGAACTCATTTTTATTACTGGGCTGGCCTGAAAATAAGAAATGAACAATTCGGTGTGTGACTTCTCCAATTAGTAGGCATTCCTGAGTCTGTTAGAACTGTCTAACCATTTTCCCATCACTCAATTTAATACATAGATACAAAGACCCCCACTTCAAAACTTTTTAGCACTCACCAATTTTCTTCTCGGTTGTTGAATTGAGGTTTTAGCCTTCAACGATTTGTTTGCATTGACGTCCTTATGTAATGCACTTTTAGTATTGATGGCCGAGCCCTTTAACGTAGTCCTTTTTGGATTGTTTACAACTCCAACTGTATTGAAAAGTTCAACACATCAGATATACAGATACAAAGCAAATATAATTTATAAATGGAAGTAATAGTCATCGAAATAGATCAAAATTTGAATGTAACAAAATCGATTTAGATGGCCTAAAGTTAGCAAGACAAGTATTTTCTAACATGACAAAAAGAAAACAGAATTATTGTGCGATTATACTATGATTACCTCCTCTTTGAGCAACCTGATTATTCTTTGCGTTACTTGCATGTGTAGTAGCATTCCTTGGAGTCCAAGAAGTAACAGCAGGATCACGTTTTGGAACTAGAACTCTCGAAATTCTCTCTTCTTTGTTCACTGTTTTTGTTCCTTTCGAGGTTGTAGGCCTTTTGGTAGTACAAAAAGCGTTAAGGAAGTCTAAGTTAATCTACAACTACAAGTAAGTTCAGGATAGACCAGCTAGAGCACATTGATAACGCTGAAAAACTCAAACAAAGCTTAAGAAACTACTAAAAGGATATGAGGATGAGGCCACAGGTCGCGGACAGCTTCCACGTTTTGAAACACTCCGATTGGAATTTTTGGTTGATAGCTCCTTCGACTTCACCTGAAATCTTGTTTAAACACCAAAAGACAAGTTCGTAATAAGTCGGCCTAAAAACAAAGATATTTAGAAATCTTTGGATATTTCTAAATCCAAAGCTGTGGAAGCATATCATCCGTAGTAATAGAACCACAAATATAACGATATTCAACTAAACATGGACGTATACTGACTGCAGAAGCTGGATTACGTTATCTTTAGTTGTTGAACCACGCTTTGGCAACAAACAACGGCCATTCTTTCTGTCGGCGCTAGGAGTACTAATTGACGCATCCGTGAATAATTTATCTTGCGACGACAAATCATTATAACAGCCACCACCAGGCATCGCCGGTATTTCTTCGTCGATTGCTGCCAATGCTTCACCGCAAGATGTACTGGTACTACCAGTGATCATTGATAGCTCCATGGAATCCAAGACACCTGACGAAAGAGTGTATATGATATAAACAATATTTTACAGCTTGAATTGCAGATAAAAATTGAAGAATAAATAAATCTAGCAACCACAGGTAGAAACCTTCTTCGGTGAAGAAAGCTTTATTCCATGCTAAGCTTTTCCGCAAATTATATCCTCCTGCCTTCTTCTTCTTCTTCATTTGTTGCGACATGATACTAAGCTTTGGCACTTCTAAATTGTTCACATTAATATTTTCTTTATCGGTACAATCTGTACAGGATAAAGGACCGGTGATTTTATCAACACGATCTTAACATATCCACGAACGATAAGAATAAGCTACTGAACAATAGTAGGACATGTTTATAATTTAAATCGCCCTAATTTCAAACGATTGATAATATTAAAGACGTAATTAACTAGACTCTTGTAAAGAGAGATCGCAACCGCCTAAAATGCATATTTATTTAATCAGAGAGAGCTTAGGTTCACAAATGCAACTTATCCGGTAAATTACAGCCTCCAACATCAATCTAAATTTACATAACCAATGAACTTGGGAGCTAACTTTTAAAAATACCGATTCGTGACTCAAATTAGACTACAAGAAATACCTACATGAATACACTTACAAACGATATCTGAAACTCATATGAAAATGTAGCACCTTAAACCGAATGATAAAAACAAGAAAATGTATATATATGTAATCAACCTGACCTGTGGAAGAAGCAGTAGATGAACCGGCAACTGTGCCATTGGATCTGTCAGTTAAGAGAGGCGAGCACAAGAAGAAGCCGCTGTTTCCCGCTGTAATTCGGTCGGTATCCTTGTCGAGGTTCAAAAGATCGTCTTCCGGAATCTGTTGCAGTAGAAAATCGTCTTCTCCGGCGACTTCGAGGAGAGAGATTTCGGACTCCATAATGCTAGCGATCAGTATGACGAAAAGAAACTAGAAATGACGGTGAGTGAGATCACGGAAGGAAGTTGCTTACGGCTGGGTTTGGAATTTGGATCTTCGATTCGCTCCCTTGGTTCATCGATTTGGGAATTTGGATTTGAAAGGATATGCGGGCGGGAAGTGCCTGATCGGTTAGAAAATAGACCACGTAATCGGATTCTAAGCGGGCCCCCATTTGAACATTTTGAATCTGGATCATGTGGGCCGCAATAAAGAAGCCCATCGGCCCACATCTTGCCGGTCTAGTATACAAAAAATCTTCAGAACATCACTGAAAATGAAATTTTGAATCGATAATTTCGGTTCTTTTAAGTATAAATTGATAGATATTTTTTTGGAAAATACTTGGCTCCCAACGATAAGAAGTCATTTCATCTTCCTCACTTTCAAAATATTTGACAATTAAGAAAGAGAAATTAAGAAAATATATTTTTTATAAAAATTAATGAGTTGTCAAATTTTTAATAAAAATTGCCAAGTATTTTCCATATATAATTTTTAGAGAAAAAAAGGGAATATTTTTAAATTTTACCTTCATATTTTAGCTATATATAAATGTAAAAAGAAAAAAAGAAGAAAAAAAAACCCATCGTGCAGTTCTCAAGAGCGATAACTTGGAAAATGGAGTTTTAAAACATCTTTAATTTTTTAGAATTATAATTTCAATAAGTTGGTATATATTTGAATCGGAAATCTTTAAAAAGATGTTATTTATGTTTGATTGGTTAAGTTATACTTAAAAGTTAGTAGTTTGTATTATTTTCAATTAAGACTACAGAAGAGGTGAGTGTTTAGTATGGTATGAAGTAATTGAATTCTAACATAATTAATTGAATTCTAACATAATTATTATTGTTGAGAGTACAATCAAAGTCTTACATGGATTAGAGAAGGGGAAGATTTTGATATATATGTGAGGGAGACATAAAAAATATAAACTACGTTCCTATTGAATAATATCATATCATTGGAGACATGGAGGGTGGTCCATTGTCCCTATAAATTGGTATCAGAGCCTTGTCACTAACTTAATCATGTGGAGAGAATCTTCAGGGGTCTAACAAAAGTGGCAAGTCTCGATATCCTATGATAGAGAGGAGTTGCACCTCGTGTGCGACTGAAGCTGTATTATGAAATTGATGTGGAATTAACCCATGTCAACAGGTCTAGGTCCCATTGATCGAGGTGAAGATGGTTGAGAATGTCATCAAAATCAAATGTATTGGCTAAGGAATTATAACTTATGCCCAAATGAAAAATATCATATAGGGATGTGGAGGGTGGTAATGCCAACCATGAAGTTGAATTAAACTGCTCGTAGCATCAATAGATATGCTAAAATTTGAATAATTGGTCAAATTCTTCAAAATAAAAATAGAAAATTGCATACAAACCCACCAATCATACAAAATTATTATTAAAAAAAATCTCCACATCAAATTATACAAAAGAAAAGGAGAGAAAGAAAGGAAAAAAAAAAGTATAAACCCAACCATGAAAACATAAAAATTTAACTACAAGATCACGTAGGACCCCAAAAAAAAGAGGAAAAAAAAAAGAAGAAGAAGAACCCAAACTTTGGCAACAAGATAACAAATTCAAACAAGCTAAGAAACCATTAAACGTGATGAGAAAAAACTTGTATCTACCAAAGGAGAGGAAAAAAAAAGTCTTGTCCCATCACAAAAACAATCAAACCAAATATTTGTTTTAAATAGAAATCATCTCATTAAGGTATTAATTTCATCGCCTGGTTAAAATTGAACTCATTAACCGGTCCTAAGATTGTAATTATAGTAATACAATTGAATATTAAAAGAAAAATAGAAATATAAAAAAATATAATTGTAGTCTTAATTATAAGTCAATCAACTTTCAAATGTCTAAATTTAATCTAATATTTTAATAAATTTTAAAATTAGTTGTCCTTAGATATTATTGATGGGTAAATTTGACTTAGCTTAATTATCAAATTTACACCCCTCTTTTTTTTTTGTTTTGAAAGTAAATTTACACCATTTTATAGAATGAAAAACCTGCAAAAATATAAAATTTACACGTTAGTATGCTATTAGCTGATGATGATCTTGATCGACCTCAGACTTAATGATGATCTTGATCTTCTTTGACTTTTTCTTGATCTCCAGAGAACGAAGAGCTTTAATCCTCTTTGTAGAGAAGATTTTGATGCTATGGAGGATGAAGTATTTTGATCCAGGATGAATTAGATGTGAATGAACCCTCTATTTATAAGTACATTGTCACATGACACAATCCAATTGGGTCAGTTTATGTCATTCAAATAGACATGACGAATTTTGATTGGACCAATTTATATGTCGTGGTGCAATCTTATTAGATTAACTTATTTCATATGGTCATCACATAATTTGATTAGTCAAATTCAAATGCCTAAAAATAATATGTGACATTATTTAATTGGTCTCAAAAATAATATTTCGGTGGGAATTCAAATGTCCCCTTGACCGATCAGCCGGATCGTGGTGCCTGCTCTTGGGCTGGTTGGCCCAGGGCAGATCAGTTGGGTCAGGGCCCATGGCCGACCAGCTAAGAAGGATTCTTGCGTCTGAGGTGCACGCGCGGAACCGCGTCTCGGACGTTTAACGCGTTACCACACTAGGAGCGTTTTCCTACAGAAAAGGACAAATATCTGTTGTAAACCATCCATGCCACGTAAGACCACATAAAATCCCACACTAACGCTGACGTGTACTTCCATTACATTTGGAAACCAAATAAATAAAGAGAATCCCCACGCAGACGTGGCACACAGCCAGATGGCCACGTACGCCACCAACTTTGCACATAGATATTCCCGTTTTCACACGTCGCCGAATCATTGGCTCAGCCCCACCAAAATCTTACTCGAATAAGAACCCAAAAAAATGAAAAATTTATAAATTCACTATAAATAAATAAATAAATAAACTTCTCGGATTTGATTTGACGCCCAGGTTGACGTCTCTTCCTTCTCTGTTCCATTGGGTTTCATTTTTGGAAATTAGAGCGGCCTGGAAAATGGGTTGCTTTGGCCACAGCAAAAAACAGAGGAAAAGGTCAGAGATCAATTTGCCATGTATTATTCCACCGCCATCTTCAGGTGATCTTCTTAATTCTGATTATTCAGAAAATTAAAGGAATGGCTTTTAGATCGTGCCTCGTTTCTTCCAAATTTCTATTCAATTTCTCGCGTCCATTTTGATGCTCGACGCGTCGTCGTTTTGACGTGGTCTCCCCACATGGGTCCAGACCAGAGATTGTTCAATGGGACGACAAAATTTATGTTTTGTTTTGCTTTTGCTTCTTTGATTTTGGTTAATGCAATACAAATTCATTTCTCTTTAGTGCTCTTCTTTTGTTTTGCTTGCTTAGGAAAGAAAATATATTCCCATATTCGCAATTTTTTTTTTTTTTGCCTCTCTCATCTTTCAATTTCTGCAAATGTTGGGATTTTGCCTTTTCTGAAGGTTTGATAATATAACCTTTTCCCCAAAAAAAAAAAAAATTAAGAATCTTTTGATACGTAGGGTTGTGAATGCAACCAAAATCCGTAGATAAGAGAAAAATGATGGGTCTCAGCAAATTGATTTTTAGAAGTTTTGTTTATATAGGCTGAATTTATGTATAGTTCATAACATTAGATAATTTATAACTTGGGTTTTGCTAATCTTCTGTGTTTTTTTAATTTTTTCTCTTGTTTTCTTGCAGATACAGGCGATCTGAAGGCAAATTTGAATGTAAAAACAGGGGAAGAAGAAAATGAGGTGGTGTGTGAAAACGACCAGCTGGCGTCAGATACAAACATAGAAGATCTAGATTCGCATAACAACGAGGTTTCCAAGAAAGCCAAAACGAATGAAGGGATAGAAACATTTACATTCAACGAACTTGTAGTAGCAACTAAAAATTTCAAATCAGATTGCTTTCTGGGCGAGGGCGGATTTGGTAAAGTTTACAGAGGCCATTTGGGAAGAATCAACAACCAGGTAAAAATTTCTCCGTCTTAGAATTGTGTTTTTTTTTAGTTCAAAGTTTTTAATGAGTTAGTTAAACTAATTTTGAGAATTCTTCAACTTTTAATGTGTCTAACAAGTATCTAACGTAATTTGATATTGTTCTTGAACCTGATTTTGATATAGGCTGTGGCTATCAAGCAACTTGATCGCAATGGGCTTCAAGGTGTGAGGGAATTTATGGTGGAAGTGCTGACATTAAGTTTGGCCAATCACTCAAACCTTGTGAAATTGATAGGGTATTGTGCAGAGGGGGATCAGAGGCTGTTGGTTTATGAGTTCATGCCATTAGGATCATTGGACAAACATTTGCATGGTACGTTATTCCGTTCGAGTTTCATTCTTTTGGATATTTTCGAGAGTACATTTTTCGAAAGACACATGAAAATGAAGTACTCTCGAAAAAATATTGATCTAAATCTCATTTATGTCTCTAAACTTTCATGGAATGTTCTTTTTTGGGTATAGATGCTCCACCGGGCAGAAAAGTGCTTGATTGGAATACAAGAATGAAAATAGCAGCGGGTGCAGCGAGGGGATTGGAGTACTTGCATGACAAGATGACACCTGCGGTTATATATCGGGATCTAAAATGCTCGAACATTTTGCTTGGGGACGGGTACTGGCCGAAGCTCTCGGATTTCGGTCTAGCCAAAGTGGGTCCTAGTGGAGATAAGACCCATGTTTCTACTAGAGTCATGGGAACATATGGATATTGTGCACCAGATTATGCAATGACAGGCCAATTGACATTCAAATCTGATATCTACAGCTTTGGAGTTGTTCTTTTGGAGCTCATCACTGGAAGGAAAGCCATTGACCACACAAGACCACCAAGGGAGATGAGTTTGGTAGCATGGGTAAGTTAATTAACCAAAACATATAATTCCATACAGCTTTTGTATTGTGCCTATTGTTTATAATTTTAAATTACAAGTTTACTCTTTAAACTTTTAAATTCGTGTCCCTGAACTTCCAAAAGCATATAATAGGTTTCTAAACTTTTAATTTTGTGTTTAATATCTCTCAATTTTAAGAGTGTTCAATATGTATTTAAACTTCCAATTGTATAATTAATAGACATATCTATGAATTTTAAGAGTGTTTAATATGTACCTGAACTTCCAATTTTATAACTAATAGACGATCCACGGTCTATTCAATATTTTATAAGAGTTAATAGACATATTAGAGATAAATTTGCTTTTTTTAGTCTAATAGAATCTTAAAATTTTAATTTTATGTTTAATAACTCCATTAATTTTTTAAAAGTGTCAAATAGGTCCAGGATTATTGGACACATAATTGAAAATTAGGAGACTTACTAAACACAAAATTGAAAATCTAGATCTTTTCTTTTTAAGTCCATTATTCTATAAGACCAAATTTTCAAAGTTTGGAGATTAAAATTGTACCACCTCAAGAGTTACATTTAAAGGTATAAATTATAAGTTTAATTGATTCATAAAAAGTAAATAATATGTCTCTAAACTTTCAATTTTTGTTCAGTATCGGATAAATTCCTAAACTTCAAAATGTTGTCAAATCTCTGAATTTTTTTGTTTTGTGTCTATCATAATTTCAAAAAGTCATAACATTGTTACAATAGATTGAATTACTGAGTCAGAGTTGTTTGTGTTAAATGTATTGCAGGCGAGACCGTTGTTTCAAGATCGAAAACGGTTCTTGCTAATGGCGGACCCGAGGCTCGAAAGTCAGTACCCTGTCAGAGGGCTATATCAAGCTCTTGCCATTGCTGCAATGTGCCTCCAGGAGCAGCCTACAATGAGGCCAATGATATCAGAAGTGGTCACTGCTCTAGATTTCCTTTCTTCCCAGAATTATGCCTCAAGGGTTTAGTTTATGTAAGATATCAAACACTTCATTTTAAAATATGAGTGTATATATTCAAATATTAAATTAGTCATATCTATGGATTATTTAATAATTTAATTCAAGGATTGGTGTTGAGGATAGGTATTTTTGTTTTCGAAATTACAAATTTATTTTTATTGTTATATATGTTTAACCAGACGTGAGGGTGAGAATTTAAATTCTTAGTTGAGTATATTGAATCAATATTTGCGAACATGTATTTTTCTAAAAATAGTGAATAAGATAACGTGTGCGGGAAAAAACTTCTTTCCTTAACAGCATTGTGCTTCTTCGTCCTTATTCTCACGTGATCCTATAAAGACAAATGTTGAGTATTATTTTTTAAATTATTTTATTAAAATCTATAATCTAATCAATCTCGTCAAATCTGCACCTTCTCACCTTTTTCTTCTTCTCTCTTATTCCGCCAACAGCTTTAAGTTTGCAGTATAAAAGATACATCTCTACAATTTAGATGTAGATATATATTTTTTTCCTTTTAATTTTTCTAGTTTTAAATGGTTGTCGAGGTGTGGTTTAACACTATATCGTTTTTTTCTCTTCTATTATTTTGTTCCGCTTCTTATTGTCTTCTAATTTTAAATGGGGGTTTTACAGTTTTTTTGTTTGTAGCCGTTTTTGCAAAGATGTAATTGAATAAGCTTTGTATGAAATTTTTTTATCTTGTTTCCCTCTAGTTTTAGATGACCGTCATTGCAGATTAACAACTCGATTATTGTAAGATATCAAGAAAATTTACGCATATATCAAGACACAAATAAAAATAATTCAGCTAATTTGGCCTACATCAATTAAAAATCAAGAGGTAGTTTCCTGATTAGTGAGCCACCAGAAAAGATGAAATATGAGTGCCTCAAATTATGAAAAAAAACTAATAGCCCGATCTGAACAACAACTCAACCGTGGTTTAATAACACACAAATGATAAAGTTAAACTTTTTCTAATTTTTTTTATTCTCTTTATCATTTTTCCTCACCTTTTATCAATAAATTATAAACAAATTCTCTCTTTTGTACTAGTAAGAGACAATCATTTAAAACTATAAAAATTAAAAAGAAAAAAAAACACACACATATATATACCTCTCTAATTTGTGGAGATGTATTTTTTATGCAATAAATTTAATAAATTTAAGCTGCATTAGGTTGGAAAAAAAAAGAAAGAGAAAAGAAGTAGGTTACACTACTGCATAAGTTGAGAAAAAACAAATTTATATAACGTAATATTGAAAACAAATAAATAAATAGAATTTCTTCTATAGTCTCGAATTTTCACGTGCACGGCACGAACTATGAACTTTCCCGCCCAAAATCACCGAAAAGCTTAACGAACACAGAGTATAAATATAAGAAGCAGCGTGAGCAAAAATTAATGTTGCCAATTACCAGAGGCACAGTCCAAATTCCATCATTCTCTAGCCCCAAATCCTAACTCCCATCGTTGAAAATGCAGCAGAGATCTTTGAGTTTGTTCCGAGCAACTGACGATCATTGCATAATCATCGGCCCTACACAAGAGCCGCAGGGAAGACGCTCTCCATCAAGAAGATCAACGGACGGTTTAGACGGCGGCGGTCTTCTTCCGGTTTCCGATCCTCGCTCCGGCTTTAGGAATCGGGATCACGTTTCGCCCTACAGGTTGGCGGAGAGGTGGATTCATTTGATTCCCTTGGCTCTGTTCCTCGTCGTCTTCATTCTCTGGTGGTTCTCTTATCCAGGTAATTAAATTTCTCCAAGAATTTCAAGAATCCGTTTCTGAATTGTTAATCGAATCTTTTATCTCCTGGAAATTGGTTTCTGTTTCTTGCGAATGTGATTTAGTACATCTCTGATCTCTAAATGAATGAGCTAGGTATAGTTTCTTTTACTTTCCAGTAATTGATATAGTCTTTATCAAGAATTTGTCGAACCATTGCTTGAATTCTACTCTTCTTCCCTTCTCTTTTTCGTTACTTCATCAATTCGTGATTTCTTGCTCTCTGTTCGGCGAATTCAGAAATCAATTCGCTAATATTCGTGTTTGCGTGTATTCTTTTTTATTAAACACAGTGAATTTGGAGATCAAGGATGAAGAAATTACCGGAGTTTATCCATACGAGTTTCCGGAGCCGCCGAAGAATTACATTGATCACGTCGAACTTGCCGTCTTAGGAGCTGCCGGAATGCAGATTGCTTCGAGTCCTCTGAATCTAACCGGCAGAGGCGCTCGAGATTTACAGAGCATACCATAAGATCGTTTGAGAAATGGCTTTTTTGTCGTCGGGATTGAGCTTCGTTTTCTCCTGTCCGAAATCCAATAACATTTCAGTGAAATTGAGTAGTTAATGAACTTGTTAATTGAGATTACAGACGCATACAACTGTCCCCATGATGTATTAGCATCAGATTTAGTCACACATTAGATTTTTTGCATTTTAACTGCGGCTTTTTTTCCTTATGTACCCCATGATGTCCTTTTATATGTCAATAAACAACTGTAACTGTATAACGGCTCATAATTTATGGGCCGGCCCATTGGAACGGATTGGGCCACACGAGTTTCGGCCCAGCCCAAATAACATGTACGAGCTCCCCAAGGTCGATGGTCAATTTTGATTGCACAAGAGGCATGTGATTCCATCGGCCTTTGTTTGAGTTTTGAGAGCTTTAGCCAACGCCAGTTGAGTGGGGACCACTCCAGGCCAAATAATGTGGGGGCAGATGAAGGAAAGGGGCAATACTTTAGCCAGCTGAGCGTGTGATGTGACTGCCCATTTCGGCCATCCCATCCTCACACTCATAGCCGTGACCGGATAAGATAAATGAATATGTGTAAAAAAAGAGGTAAATTCACGTGTCTGTGGGCCCTACCACATGTGGGGCTTCCGCCTCCTACTCCCGCATCTGTCCCTATCACACTCGCTCATGTTTAGCAACCTTTGGCATTTTAGGCATTGCACTAGCACTAGCCTTCAAGGAAAAAATAAATAATATTAAAAACTAAATTTATGTTTTAGTTGATATATTTTGTTGAAATACTTACAAATGAATTAAATTTATTTAATCCATCAGTTTAATCTTTTAAGTTGAAGTGTAGTTTATTTATCTTTGTATCAGGGTGAGAGGTTCTGTATTCGAAATCATGCATTGTTATTTCCAACAATTTCCTTGTGGGAGTGTTGAGATATTCATAAATGAATTAAGTCTACTCAATCCATCAGTTTAAGTTTTTGGGTTGAGTAGTGTTTTATTTATCCTTAACATGTTTTTCCCGCTCAATTTAATTTGTATATTTTAGTATTTTGGTTGATTATAAGTTTATATGAGGTAATATAAGAATGAAGAGGAACTAAATAAGCTTGAAAGTTTTCTAGTTTTTGGGAGAATTTTGATTTATCTTATTTGAAGTGGTCTAATTTTTAACATGTCATATAAGTGTCGTCAACTAATGGAAAGGACATAGTTGAATAATGTTGGAATGTAATGAATTAAATTAAAAATTTTTAAATAGTAGGAAATAAATTGAAAAAAGTTTCTCTACATATATCGTCGAAACTAAAGAAAATAAAATTGGATTTCTGTAAAAACGAAATTTAAGAGAAGAGGGCAGAAAGAAGATGAGGCGTAATTGGGTTATGATAATTGTGATTACTACATGGAAGATATAGGTTGTGAAATTATGTTTGATTTGCAGAGAGGAGGGTAATAGCGGAATTTCACGTGGTTAATAAGTGATACATACGATTGGAGGTCTTGTTATACTTTTCGGCATCTAATGTTGTTGTATTGCGTGTTCTGTTTTGGGTAATTGATGTGAAGTTTCTTTAGTCGTCATTTGTCAATTGTTGTCGACGATTGCCTTGTCGTCAGAACAATTTTCTTCTCACTTCTTTTATGCTAATTTTCTCCTGCCTGCCTGTGAATTTTTTTTCTTTTATTATTTTTGAGTTCAACTGCCTGTGAAGAAAAATTTAAACAATATATTTCTTCATGGGAATTTGATTCTAAATGTTGTAAAAAGAATATAATTGTTGTCAAGTTTTTATACTATATTTCATCAGTCTTTATTGCTGGACAATGAAGTTTCATTTATGAAGGAATTTTTCTGTCCAACATGAATTGTGCCTCTCTCTCTCTCTCTCTAACAATTGGGGAAAAAATATTTTCTTTCTTGATATTTATTTTACAAAGATGGATGCCTTGGCAGGGATCCACATCCTGTTTCTAATAGAGATGGGACGAGGATGTCTTCTTCTTCCCCTATTCTCAAATTTTGTTACTTTGTGATAAACATTTTCTTAGTATTGTGTCATAATTTGTTTTTTTTTAATGAGATAATATAATTTAAAACTACTATTTATTTAAATAATTCATGTTTTGGTTTAAATACTATCTTGATAAATATATCATCTGCTTTTAAAATTTTTCATTTTAGTCGACGTATTTTTTTAAACGTTCATTTTGGTTTTTGTACTTTTAAAAGTGACTATATATTTTGATCAATCAATCCTTATTTTGGTATCTATATCACGTGCGGTAAATTTGTTGTCAAAAAGTTTTCATTAGATATTAAATTCATGCTCAAAAGGTGTAGATAATGACCAAATTGATTATTTTTAAATGTACAAGAACCAAAATGAACGTCTTGAAAGTAAAAGGACTAAAATGAATAATTATTTGAAGTAAATGGACCAAAATAAAAATACATGAACCAAAATAATATTTAAACATCTATGGCCCGTTCTTAGAAATAGAATTGCCTGACCTCCAACATCCATAGATGCAAGAATGATAAAAAAATACGATTTTTATTTGTGTTTGGAACAAGTAGAAATGGAAACTAGAAATAGTAAAAAAATTTTCCACAAATTTCTATACAATTTTGAGAATGTCTCTAAAAAAATAAAATACGAAAAACATAAATGATTATAAAATGTCTAGAATTCTTAATAAATTAGAAAGTAAAATATTACTAATCCAATGTAACCCATAAATAATTTCCATCTATTCCTGGTCCAAATCTTCTTCAAGACAAGGATTGTTTCATGGACCATTTTCTTGGATGCCCCTCGGACGTGATCAAAATTATAAGATGAGCTCTAATGCTGTTCTTCATGGCCGGAGGCATAACTTTTTCTAAGGAGCGGAAATTTTTACTTGCTGACTCTATATATCTAGTTTTTCAATTTTACAATTTGAGATGGATAAATTTGAGAAAAACTACTATATCTTAAACATTATATATATATATATATATATATATTTTCCCTATTGTGTGACTACAATTGTCTCCTATTCATTTATTATTTACTTCATCATTCAAGTTCAGCGGTAGGCTCGAATAATAATTTTATCCACAAATCCTAACAATACGAATGGCTAATGTCAGTTGGTAATAAAAAAAACGACATTATAAATGCTCTAATAATACAAAACCCCACTAAAATATTAATTTTATTACGCGGAAAAGCTAAAATTGATAAGTTATAGTATTTACTTGTGCATATATATTTTTTAACAGTAAAAGCGAACATAACTCAACAACAATTGGTATATGTCTCAAACTAAGAGGTTGTAAGTTTGATCCCTACATATAATCAAAGACGTTGTATATATCATCTCCCACGCACCCATATAAGTATACCAAATTTTTCCATCAACAATTTTCTCGCCCAATAAAAATACTCTTCAAGCTTTTTTTTATTGATGTTTAATCAAAGTAAAATAAAAAATGATATTGATACTTACTCTTAAAAGTCCTTGCATATAAAAAAGTAAATTCAAACTCACTCTACTTGCAATATATCCAACTAAGTTAACACTTGTATTTTAGATTGATTAATTCTTATTAGCTGTGATGGTCATTTCCATGCTCATGCTTATTTTCACAAAATCTAAAAATGATATTGTGAAACCTAAACATAGCTAAACTGATTAAGCCATCTTCTTTTGTTGTACCAAAAAAAAAAAAATTAAAAAAAAGGACAAGTTTAGAATGCCTTGCTGGAAAGGAAGGAAAAAGACCTTATAATCCAATAAATACTTTTTCAGCTTTTCTCACCGTTTAATCAAAGCAAAAAGTGACCTTTGAGTATTATAAAAACAATTTATTAATGTTTCTCTGGAAAGTGCTTATAGATAAAAGCAGATAATCTAAATTCAATCTTAAGCTAACACTTGTATTTAAATCGATTAATTGTTCATAAAAAATTACTTAAGTTGATGATAATTTTTGTTAGTACAATATGTAAGGTGAGAGTAAAATTCACAATTTATTGGTTGGAGATTTATATCAATTACGTTGAGTTAGACTCGTTTTGACATATATAATTTTTCTAAAAAAATAATGAACTATCAATTCTTTTAACGGTAGTCAAATATAGAGAGTTTGGAACAAGGTTATAAATATCGATGTCGTTAGAAATGTCGAGATCTCAATTTCATGGAAATATCAATAAAATGTCGATATCGATGGATATTTCTGTAAAAATTATAAAAATTATAAAAAATATTTAAATGACCAAATAAACCTTTCCTATTTCTAAATTAGTTATAAATAAATAATCTTAATATTATTTATATATTAGTGATATTTTGTTGGTAATTTTCATATTTTGTCGATTTTCTAATACTATGATGAACATGTCGATTTATCTCTCGTGTCGATGTCGAATTCATGAAAACATGAAAATGTCTACATGTCGATGGATATTTCAAACTATGATCCGAAACCATCTTGGTTACCCACTTCTCATAACCTAAATATTTTGCACACGTAAAATGGTATAATTTGCTACCAAAAAAGGAATATGGATATAATGTGAGTGGGCCGGCAGCGGGACAAAGGAGAAACAAGAGCCAATGGCGAGCGAGATGAAGCGGTCGGCAGAGCCAACAACTCCCCAATGTGTCTCAATTCAGCCACAAATCTCTGATCTCTGTCTTCTTCTGCCACCCCAACCCCATTTCCCATCCCATCGTCCCTTCATAACATACAAACAAACCAATCAAAACCTAAATATATCGACTATTCCATGGATTTCTTCTATTCATTTCATCCCTAATATTTTTTATAAGTTTTCAAATTCAACCTTGATGGATTAGTAATATTCAGTTCAATTAACACAATTATACACGGGTGGGTCGAGTTTTGTTGATGAGTTGGTTGTGTTTTGTTTACGAGTGAGTTTTGTCTTCTATCAATTTTTTGTTATCGAGTTCTAACAACAAAGAACGTGATTGGGAATGAATGATACCTTAGAAGTAAAACTAGGAATTTAAGAAAATATTAAAAATTTAATCAAGAATTACCTCAAACATTTTGGATATATTTAATTATTTATCATACATGTTAGGGGTAAAATAAGTACAAACATGTGGCCCTCTCCCACTAAGATAAGTCTATTCACGCTTCAACTTCAACTGCCACAATTATGGCGAGGAAAAAGGACTAATGTGTCTAGAACTTGAGCTCTACTCTACTCCAACTAGATTCTATTGATTAGAAAATTTACTGACAATTCAAGGAATGTCAAACTTCTTGCGGCAAATCTTTTAATTGCGAGTAGAAAATGTGTTGAGCAACAATCTCCAATGCTTCTCGTGTTAAAAGTAGAGTCCTAACCACCTCCTTAAAGAAACATAATCTCAACTAAAACATTAGAGTATACTTGACTAAACACCACATTGGTGTAAAGTTAGCGAACCGAGCCCACGTCAATTTCTACTTTGCATTGCCTGTCACTTCGAAAAATCAACTATACATATAAATAAACCCAACTGCCAGAAACACACAGCCAAAAAGGAAAAAAAAAAAAAACCCACTGCTCTCATTGCTTTGGCTCCATCGTTGAGCATGAAAATGGGCGCAACCAAGCCGAAAATCATGTGAATTTTGGGGTCCTTAGGAAATGGGAGAGCCTTAACCTTTTCCACTCACTCATTCATTTTGATTCCAAAAGCACTTTTAAAAAGTCCCCTTTCCCACTCTCCCACTGCCACTCTCCTCTCTCTGCTTCTGCTTCTGCTTCCTCTTTGTCTCTCACTCCCATTCCAATTCCCAACCAACAACTTTCTCCCAGGTAACCCTTTATTTATTTTTTGCCATAAAAAAAAGAAAAAAAGAGTAAAATTGAATGGCTACACAATGAAACAAAAAGATTTTGGTTTTAAATTTGGCATTTTTTTCAATGACTCACTCTACTCTACGTCAAGTTGCTAGCTGTCAAATTCAATTTTCCAATGTCATATCAACTGCGAGAGAAAAAAAAATGGAAAAAAAAAATATGGCACAAATTAGAACCACAGAGATGGGGTTAGCTGGAAATGCTCTTTCCTGAAAGATTTTTTTTTCTTCTCTTGTCTTTTTGTACGTTTCTCATTTATGAGAGCTCCAAGAATCGCTTATGAAAACCGAAATCTCTGGATTTATTCTGTTCTTATAAATTGTTATAATTCCTTTTCACATTCAATTTTTAATTATTGTGTTTTAAGTTCTTCCAAATCGGTTTTTACGATACTGCCCTCCGAAATAGCTGGAAATGGGTTCAAGCGTTCCGTCATGTAATGTAACTACCACATGACAGTTCCGGCGAAGAACTTGAAATGACCTTATTACCCTCCTGATATCCCTCTATTTACCTCCTTTTTCTCCATCCGATCAACAAGACGTCGTCGTCTCGCCTCTGCCATACCGTTTCACGAGCGGTCCACGTGGACTCGCACGCAAGACCAATAATATCGAGATTGGACCTCGCGAAACCCGGTTTATTTTCACGATTTATCAGTTTCTGTCAATTTCAGTGCACTTTTGTAGTTTTCTTGAGAGAGATATATATAAATTTCAATTTATGCAATTAAAAATTATATTTTAGTATATTTTAGCAACAATACTCTTAAAATGATATCTACTTTTTAATTCTTACTCATTTTAATCTTTATATTTTTTGAAATATTAATTTTAGTTCGCGTAATCTTTGAAAGTGTCTATATTAAAATTACAAATTTTAAAGATATATGAACTAAAATGCACGATAAAGGTTAAAAATATGGATACTAAAATAATATTTAAACTTAGAAATGAAGTAAATGAAATTTTCAATTAAAAAGCTAATTAAAAATTTTAAAATACTACATGGGTGTTTCATTTGATATGAGATTGAAATCTACAGGATATTTGTAAGACTGAAATATTTAATTTGGCCAACCTAGTATTATTAATTAATATCTTTTAAAGTATTTCTCAAAAAAATAAAAATAAAAAATTTAAAGTAAAGTTGGATAATAAAGTTTGGAGGTGAGAGAGAATATAATTATATATAGAATTGAATATTTTGGTTTTGTGATGTTCATGCAGAGAGAGAGATCTTATGGAGCCGTTGGATAAAGCTCAGCCCAAATCCTCCCCTCTCGCGCCATTTCCTAGGGATTCTCGGGGCTCGCTCGAGGTTTTCAATCCCTCCTCCACGTACTCCTCCCGCTCCATCAATTCGATTCCGCGGCCGAATCCTGCGTGGCCCAATTGGGTGGAGCCTGCGCGTACCAGCTCCGAATCGGACTCGTCCCGCCTCGCAGCCAAACCGGCCGCCGGAAAAACCGCCGATGAGATTACATCATGGATGGCCTTCAAGGACGCCAACCCTTCCCAGCCGTCGTCGCCGCTCGCTCAGAAGACTATCTCCGCGATTCTCAGCGAAAAATCTCCGGCCGTGAGGGCGCAATCGCCGGACGAAGTCGGTTCCGCCGCCCAACGCGCCGCCGAGTGGGGACTGGTGCTGAAAACCGACACGGAGACTGGGAAGCCTCAGGGCGTCGGAGTTCGAACTTCCGGAGGCGATGAACCTAACGCCAAACAGGAGAATTCGAGAAGAACTTCGAATAACTCGGTGCGGAGTTCGGGCGACATGTCGGACGACGGGGCGCGAGAGCGGGGGATTCCGAGAGTGTCCGAGGACTTGAAGGACGCTCTGTCGACATTTCAGCAAACATTTGTGGTTTCGGATGCAACGAAACCGGATTATCCGATTATGTATGCTAGTGCCGGATTCTTCAAGATGACGGGCTATACATCCAAGGAGGTTATTGGAAGAAATTGGTAAGTCTCGTCTCTCTCACTCGCCAAACCATTTTCCCCCAAATCTTCTAGTTTCCATTTGAACTTCAACTGTTCAATTTCTTTCAGAAAACAATTTATACGTATACATGTTGAATTCATCATTCAACTTGTAAATTGAACTTTATCTTAATAGTTTCGAATTCTGAATAATTTTCAATTTCAAGTAGCGAATTTCTATTAAGGGCATAAACACTTCCTAATTAAAGAAAGAAATTGACAGTTCGAGGGAGAGAATTGCTAAATTATTTTAGGAGTTCTTTATTTCTTAATGATGAATCCTTCTTACTTGAACTTGAATTTAGGAAATGAGTTTTTATAAGAACAACATATTTTACCTTCTCGCTTTTCTGGGAAAGTCTTTCAGTCTGAGTTTCAATATTTTCTTAGATAGTTCATCTGTTTCTTATTGAAGAATCTGTCGGTGACGAAACTCTCTGAAATACCAGAAGTTTGACTGTAGAGAATTTTTTAACTGAGGGGACTAATGGGGGTGGATGTGCAGTCGGTTTTTACAGGGTGCAGATACAGACCCAGAAGACGTGGCCAAGATCCGAGAGGCTTTACAGGCGGGGACGAGTTACTGTGGGAGGTTGTTGAATTATAAGAAAGATGGGACCCCGTATTGGAACCTACTTACTATTTCACCTATCAAAGATGATGACGGGAAAGTTCTCAAGTTTATTGGGTCAGTTTTAATCTCCCTGTTTATATGCGCCTCTCTCTGTTTCATTTGGTGCTTTCAAATGGTCCCCTCAAAACTGTATATTTTCTTTTTTTCTGTCTTTGCATCTTCATTCCACTGCATATTCACTCTTCTAACTTGTGAAGCTCCATATGAGTCAGTCTAATACTGGTCCAAGCGAAAGAATGGTAAATTCAGATGTCTTTGGAGTCATAGAGTTTGATTATACCATCTAGTTATGATATAACATATATCTTGTTATTACCTTGAATTAATTGGTCTAGTACATGTGACGAATTGTAGATCTAGATGTTATTGAAGTCTTAAAGCTTTGATTACCCGTTCATATATATGTTATTATCCCGAATGAGTTGAACTAGTCCAACTGAGGAATGGTAAATCCAGGTGTTTGAATAATACTTACTTTTGAATCTTCCACTGATCACCACTAAATTTAAGGAGGGAGTGGTCAGATTCACAAGTGAGGAGGTAAGTATTATTCTTTGAAGCTATTGAGCTCCTGCCCATATAGCTGTGATAGTAATCAAAATAGCAGGTTGAAAATAGAGATGCTTTTTGAGGCCATATAGCTATCATAGGGTGGGATGGGTTATAGATATGAAGTCACGGGAGTGTGTTTTTTGAGAGGGAGAAATGAAACTCAATTATGGAAAAATAATTCCAAAGCCTTGAAATCAGGAAGGTGTCTGAGTGTAGGATCTATGTCTGATGAAGGGAAGATTTTGGCATATGGGCATGCCAAATCAAGATGGTACTTTATGGAAAAAATGTGACATGTATTACAAAACATGTCACATGATCAACTAGAAGTGGGCATTTTTCCAAGTCGCTGTAATAATAAACAACCAACTTTTATTAAATTGTTTTGCCCACTGGGGGTGGCTGTCCCTGTCGTCTTGCCTACTGATTCAATGGTTGATTGCGATGGAATGTGGCCCCCTCCTTTCTTCTCTGATGATAAACCATGACCGTCTGATCTTTAATGGACTGTGATTGATAACAGAAAAGAATGTTGGTTAAGCGAAGTTAATGAGGAGATAAGAACAATAATTATCTTTTGCCTTTTTTAATTATCTTTAATTATTGTTTTTTTATTTGTCTGCTGATTTGGCAGAATGCAAGTGGAGGTGAGCAAACACACAGAGGGCTTCAAAGATAAGATGGTCCGTCCCAATGGCTTGCCAGAATCCTTGATTCGTTATGATGGTATTGTATATTACCTCCCTCTCTACATGATGGTTTCTTTTGGGACCCATTTAGAAAAGTTGGAACCATCTAATTGAATTTGATGTTATAGGGTAGTTCAGCTCGTAAGTATATCCGAAAATAAAATAAAATTGTGAGAATAGGATGTTAAATATTGATAAATGATTAAATTTACCGTAACTCATCAATTTAAGTTCTTAGATTATGGATTCGATACTTATCATCATCATGCGTCAAGTTTTGTTTCTATGATAATTGTGAGAGAAAATGAGCCAACCGCGGAAGCTTCCAACTTCTGTGTGATGTTTTACATGAATGTTTTTTTAGATCTTCGTATGGACATGATGTGTAATGTTCATTATTAGAAATAGAAATATTTGGCTGTTGTTAATTAATATTATGAGTTACCATTCAAAATTATAAAAGAGAAAAAAAGGGGAGAGAATGGAATGAGACTCATTGTATTTTGGGATAGTTTTTAGTGTACTGAAATTGTTTTTTAAAAGTTTAAAAGTATTTGGTAAAAAGTTTAGATGAAATGTAAGGTGGCTACATCTGCTTGAATTTAATATTAAGGTCAAGACAGTTGTTTCACAAATTAGTAAAAATACATGTAAGTTGGACCGAACCCTTATTAAAGTCAAGACAATTAATTAATTAATTAATGTTGTTGATTGTATTTTAACTAAAATACAAATTAAGTAGTGTTTTCAAAATTTCAAAAATATTTAAAGGTAGTTAACTTTTCATTTTCCTCCAAATATGCAAGTGTGAATTTGGCTTGGATTGGGGCTGTAAATATGATTGAATTTTGGTAATTTTGTTTTCGTTTTATTATAATCTGCACAATCTTGTTGCAGCCCGGCAAAAAGAGATGGCTACCAGTTCAGTAACGGAACTCGTGCAGGCGGTGAAAAGGCCTCGGTCTCTAAGCGAATCCAGGCCTCGAGCTCTAAGTGAATCTATGAGCCGCCGGTTAGTTAGAAAATCCGGCGGCGACGACCTTAGAGTTGAAGCTGCTGCCATGGTTAGGCGAAAGTCAGAGAGCGCCGCAGCTCCGACTGGACGAAACTCACATGGGAGAAGTAGAAGGTCGATGCAGCGTATAAGTGAGCTGCCGGAGAAGAAACCCAAGAAATTCGGCCGTCGTTCATTTATGGGGTACGATTCTTTTGTTGAATAATATATGTTTTATATTTATTTATTTTTTGTCCCGATATGTTTATTTATTTGACAGGTCTTTTTTCTTTTGAAACTTTTTTTTTTGTTTTTGTTTGAGCATGGGGTGGATGTTCGACTTCGCGACCTAAAAATTTTATTCTAAATATTTAACTCTTAATTAATTATTATTATTATTATTTTAAAGATTTACTTCCTGCGATTGAAATGACTTTTTTTTCTTAAAATTAATTCTACTGAAAAAGACTCTTCTTTTTTTTTAAATGACTCTTTTAAGTAAATTGAAGTGACTGGTTTATTGACTTGCATCTTGCGTTAAAATTGTCAGGTTGTCTTAAAAATAAAATTTTGAATATAATAACTTAATAGGGAAATTATACTAAATGGCGCATTCCTATACTTAAAAAATATGATTACTTTTCCTTTTGTTTTTTTTTTACCAAAATGTCACATCTCACAAAAGTGGATTTTGGTTGGTCTATAATTGTATAAGTTTACAATTTATATCATTTTTGTAAAATTTTAAACATATATAAGAGTACACATTCTTTTTGTGCTATGTTTGTAATTCCCACTAATTAATATTGAAAAGTTCGTTATGATATATTATCTTTTATTTTCTATAAAAATTAATTGAAATATAAAATATTTTAATTAACATAAGTTTTTTTATTTTTTAATTGATAGAATTTGAAGAAGGATTATCATTGTGACACATTCTTTTTTATTTTTTTTGTAAAATAATGATATCATTATGACATTAATATTAAAAAAATAGTGTCAACATGAGTTTAACTTAGCGGTAATTGACACTTGTTCGGTAATTAACACCTGTCCGCTTTTAGGTGCCTACGATTTATTGAATTTTAATTGTTTCACTTTTGTACACGTATATTAATTGTTTTTATCTTAATTCTTTTTTTTTTTTTGGGATAAAATAAATCATTATTTCATTTCTTATTTTATTTCTTTGGTTGGTTTAAAAATAAGAGAAGGAAATGTTTTAGACTTGAGTTATTAATTTCAATGAAAATAAAAGATCAAAAAATAAATCATGATAGGGGTGATCTTATAGTTTATTTAAAATATGAGTATTAGACAAATTTGGTTTAGTTAAATGGTTTACAAACACCCACTTTATTTATCATCATCTAAAAAGTTGTGTACATCAATTTAAACTCTTACCTTATCAAAAGATAATCTAACTAATATTAACATTAAATCGACAAAAACACCATATAGGGAAATAATAATTAAAAAAAAAATTCAAAACTGATTCTGAATCCAATTTTTAATACATTAAAGATAGATAAAGTTGTTCATGGTTAAATGTATGTTTGTGAGTTTGCATAGGCCTGCATATATCTATCTCATTACATAAAATCTAGACTTAAAAGTTCCTCATAAAATCTCTTCTTATCAATAAGGATTAAGAGGAAAAGTCGGTCAAATGTTGAAAGCTTTGACATTGACATTGAAGATGGCTCAGACGACGATGATGAGACAGATGACGATGAGAGGCCAGATAGCGTTGATGACAAAGTAAGGCAGAGAGAAATGAGGAAGGGTATTGATTTAGCTACTACCCTCGAACGTATAGAGAAAAACTTTGTCATTACTGATCCCCGATTGCCTGACAATCCCATTGTAAGATTCTTTCCTCAACCGATCATATTATGTTGTTTTTGAGTAACAAAAGAGTAATGAATAAGAAATTGAATGTTTCTAATTCTATTTCAGATATTTGCTTCTGATAGCTTCCTGGAACTAACCGAGTATAGTAGAGAAGAAATCTTGGGAAGAAATTGCAGGCATGTTCAAACTTCCTCTTCACATAAGGCATGAATGGACTTTGAATGGACTAATTATCTGTTATTATTCTGGATGTTGTAGGTTTCTGCAAGGACCTGAAACCGATCGAGCCACCGTAAGGAAAATAAGAGATGCAATCGACAACCAAACGGAAGTTACAGTGCAACTTATTAACTACACGAAAACTGGTATGCTTGTTAGTCATAGATCTGTGAACTCCAATAATGTCGCTTGAACGGGAGATAAATAATTGTGTTTATTTGAAAGTTATCTATTTCTTTTTCTTATTGAATCTCGATGCAGGTAAGAAGTTTTGGAACCTGTTTCATCTACAGCCTATGCGTGATCAGAAGGTACTCTTCTCTGAAGATTCTAAAAGACATAAACTTGTTAACTTTTGACCTATATCTTGAATCAAATATATATCAAGAGGTTGTTTTATGAATAACATGGCCATAGTTTTGAGCTTAAAAAGGTAAGTGCTTGCTTTTGCGAACAGGGAGAAGTCCAGTATTTTATTGGAGTACAACTCGATGGCAGTCAGCATGTGGAACCGCTAAGCAATTGCATACCGCAAGATACTGCAGAAGAGGGTGTAAAATTGGTCCGTAGTTTCTATATTTTAATTTTCATCGCACTTTAAGATTCTTTGCATTTGGAACCAGTTTTTGCACATTAATCTATTGTTCCTGAAAGAGAGTATTGTTGGAAGGATTCATTTCTCTGCCTTTATAATAGATTATTCGGTGATTTACTGTGACATGTTTACTTAATGTCCACTGCCAGATAAAAGAAACTGCAGAAAATGTTGATTTGGCGGCTAGAGAACTTCCCGACGCCAATTTGGTATGTCGAACTGTTAATACATCTCTTGAAACAATTTGAAGTTTCTGTTTCTTACAAGAAAATATCTGCAACCTACAGACACCAGAAGATTTATGGGCAAATCATTCCAAGGTGGTCCAACCAAAGCCTCACAGAAAGGATAGTCCTTCTTGGAAGGCTATCCAGAAGGTACTGTTCATTTTACCTTTTTGGCCTGAATATTGCATTCAAAGCATAAAGTCTTTCGATAACTAATCCCTCTTGTGAACAGATTGTCACAAGTAATTGTAACTTGGAAGTAGTATAAACGGAATCCCATGTCTTCGCCATCCTAGTTTTACACGTACGTTTTCCAATAATATATATAAGAAACTAAGAAAGATGAATATCCGGTAGGAATCTACCTGTGAGTTCTTTATAAGACTCAGCTGCATCATCTGTAATTTGCATCTATTTTCGGTTCAAGTTAATTGATGTATAACCTCTTCTAAAACAGATTTTGGACAGCGGAGAACCAATAGGACTGAAACATTTCAGGCCAGTTAAACCTTTGGGATCAGGTGATACTGGCAGGTTTGTGTTGTTTCTTTCCCATTTTTATCCATCTTGTTCTGGAAGAATCACTGTCATTTTATCCGACTGGTTTAGTCTACAATATTGAACAAATCCATGTAATGTCTATTGTGTATCACTAAGCTAGCACAAATCACTCTTTTATGTTTATGTGACATGTTTATGTTGTCGACTGCAGCGTGCATTTGGTTGAACTGTGCGGGACAGATCAGTATTTTGCAATGAAGGCAATGGATAAGGGTGTTATGCTTAACCGCAACAAGGTATTGCAATATTTTGGTTTCCATTCTTTAACATTACATTTGACTTTTCTACTGGTAATTTGAGAGGCCTTGATATGTTGTACAAGAACTTCAAAGAAATATAGGATTCGGAAGAAGTCGATGATAAGATATTTTAAATTGTTTTGAGGAAAAATATTTCTGTTTTTACAATTCATTTGATAAGCGTAGTATTTAAACTTCGGCTTTGGATTTCTCCTACTTTATTTAGGAACTCTATTCTGTTTTGTTGTACAGGTGCATAGAGCTTGCGCAGAGAGAGAAATACTTGACATGTTGGATCATCCTTTTCTTCCTGCATTATATGCTTCATTTCAGGTTAGAAAGTTAGATAGACGCTGAAGAAATAATCTACATTGGATTTCTTGCTTACTGAAACGGTAAAAAATGTCTAAGTGGGTTGAATAGAACAGCTGTTTAAGCTGAATGTGAATAGATTGTTGATTTAATTTTTCTTTATGTACCTCCTCATTCATCTTTTATGGTCTAATAAATTAAAATTATAAAATTTTGAGCTATTTTGCAGACAAAAACACATGTTTGTCTTATAACTGATTACTGCCCTGGTGGGGAACTCTTTCTGCTTTTGGACAGACAACCTACAAAGGTCATAAAAGAAGATGCTGTAAGGTATATAAAACCAAAACTTGGCATCCTAACACTTCACTTCTGAACCAAAGTTGGGATGTTTCTATCAGTTTTTTTTTTAGTTCTGCGGGGTGTGAGATCAAACCATCGAACTTTGAGATAAATGATAATAATATTAATAGGTGTCTTATCCACCGAGATGAATGATATGTTGCTAGCAGATGTAAACTTAAATCTCTTAGTAATTTGTTTACTGAACTTACATTTCATCATTGGTAAATGTGAAACTTTTTTTGCTGAATTTCAATTTTTATGTTTAGTGTTTGTAAGATTTGATTTTTCGCTGGGTGGATGCAGGTTTTATGCTGCTGAAGTTGTCGTGGCATTAGAGTATCTTCATTGTCAAGGTAAGGTCATGTTTACTATTGAGAACCTGATTAAATGAACCTAAAAGTTACTCTGAATTTTTATAATTTTCTTTCAGGGATAATTTACCGGGATTTGAAGCCCGAAAATGTTCTACTACAGAGCAATGGACATGTTGCCTTGACAGATTTTGACTTGTCATGTTTGACTTCTTGCAAACCTCAGGTATCCCATATGTTCTAGATCTAATTTAGGAAGCATTTTTCATTAGTAAGCTATATGACTTCTCTTGATGTGAATTCTGCTTCTGGAACTCTGCAGCTTTTGCTTCCAACCACAAATGAGAAGAAAAAGCAATCAAAATCTCAACAGGCTCCAATCTTTATGGCTGAACCCATGCGAGCATCCAACTCATTCGTTGGTACTGAAGAGTACATAGCACCGGTTTGTACTACTTGCAACAGTAATAAAATCATTGGATAGTTTCCAAATTCGCATATTTCGACCAGAAACAACAAATAGTATACTAAAAAATTTGCTCATTTTCACCCATTATATCAGTGTCTGTTCACACGAGAGCCTTTAGAAAAAGGCTAAAAAGGCAGTCCCCCTAACCCCTAGGGGGAGCTAAGAAAATTAAGTAAAATAAAATGCATACAACTTCTTCCTTTTGTTTGAAACAACCCATGCTTAAGGTGGAAACTTACTCCGTCCTGATGTCAGGAACAAGGGATGATACACATTGATCTGTTCTCCTTTGCATGTTTTGTGTTACTGGTAGATCGAGTTGTCGTTGTCTTTGTCGACGTCCAGTGGTTGCAAATTTTTTTGCAGGAAATCATAACTGGGGCAGGCCATACTAGTGCTGTGGACTGGTGGGCTTTGGGTATTTTTCATTTTGCTTTTTTCTGATTGAAAATGTTTGAGGATTTATATCTTGATTTTGATTGCCTTACTAATGTTCTTTTGATGGTTTATGTCTCAGGCATCCTTATCTATGAGATGCTCTATGGATACACTCCCTTTAGGGGGAAGACAAGGCAAAAAACTTTCGCCAACATTCTTCATAAGGATCTTAAATTCCCAAAGAGTATATCGGTACAGCATTTTAATCATTAAACTATTCGAAACTAGCATACAAAGTTATCTTTCTTTTACCATACGGACTTTGTTATTTTCTTTCACCATACGTCGGTTTTGGTCGGTTGAAAACTAAAAATGAGAAAAATCCTTTTGTGTTGCAGGCTAGTCTTAGTACGAAGCAGTTAATTTTCAGGTTGTTGCATAGAGACCCCAAAAACCGATTGGGTTCTCAAGAAGGAGCAAACGAAATCAAACAACATCCTTTCTTCCGAGGAGTCAATTGGGCGCTCGTTCGTTGCATGGTAAAAACTACAAACTCAATCGAACAATACTTTAATGTTTACCGGTCAGAACCTTTAAAAATTTGACAACTTTTAATTTTTTGAAAATAAAAATGTTTTTATTTTTTGTCTCTCTACCCCGGTTAAAAATTTAAGAGCGGTAAGCAAATGATAAATTCTGACCTATAAGCACTTAAATATTTTTCGACGTTGCATCATTCACATGTTCATGAAGAAGCCTCCTTTACTAATATGTGTGGTTGTTTTTCCAGAGTCCGCCCGAGCTTGCAGCTCCTCTTTTCGAGACAACAGATGCTGAAAAAGATGCTATTAAAAGTAAAACTTCAGATTTTGATCTAAAAGATCTTGAACTCAGTGTTTTCTGAGAAGTTTCCTCCTTAATTATGGCTTGCGTTCTTCCAAAGGAATGGCTCTCTTCAAATAATTATTTTATGGTCTGATTTGTTCTGATCAATTTCACCTTCCTAGTTCTGCAGCATTTTGGAGCGTTTGGTCGCTTTAGCTTGTGAATTTTTTTTAGGCTTCAAAAGCGGCTTTCTTTTTCTTCAGTGTTTTATTTAATCTTTCCCAATAATGTAATAAGAATGTGTTGTAATGTAATGGTGGTTGGTGAAATAATCTCTTGGTCTGCTTCATTTGTAATAATTTGTAATTGTTTTGTTCAGTCTTGAGCTTTCATTTTTGTGTATTGATTGTACGTGTATCGATTTTTTTCTTTTATGGTAACTATAAACAAATTAAAATATAATTGTTATATTATAGCATTTGTTTTTGTAAGTATAGAATTCAAACAAGGAAGTTATTAATGTCTTGATTAAGTATAATTCAAGTCAATGATTATACCAATTTTTTGCATAATATTTACCTTTTTGTTTTAGTACATCCGTCTAAAAGGTACTATCTTCTACTAAAAAGTAAAGTTGTGAGTTCGGATTCTCTGTCTTATCTTTATACATTGTATTAAAAAATGTATATGAATAATTTTATATTTTGAGTAGGGGAAAGCAAACATCCAAAAAGCATGAAAGATAAAACCACCTATCTCGATTGGAAGATGAAAACTAAAAATTTGGATATGCATGCCTATGTCTTGTAAATATCTCATTGATTTCAATTTTTCTTTTTACGATGGAACGACAAATATTTGAATATTTGATATTTAGATCAAGAATATATGTCTTACCAATTGTTGAGTTATTTTGATAAGTTAGTCCGAATACTTGTGGATATCAAAGAAAAAAAAGTTGTGCTATGAATAAGATGCTCTCACCCTCACAGAAAATGTACACATTAACAAAAATATTACAAGCTATTTCTTTACATTTATTTCATATTGAATATTCTTAATAGATAAGATGCCAAAATTCATGCAAATCTAACCTTCTTTGGAGGAAAATAAGGAAAAAAAAAAAACCTCACTAAAACGTAGCCATATTTTTTAGAGAATCAGAACTGAAATAAACTAAAATGAAGAATCGTTGAAATTACAAAAGATTGAACGTACCTTGCAAAGAAGACCGAAATTGCTCGGACAGTCGAGGGCAAAATCGTATATTAAAAGGATTAGATTAAGAGAGGCTGAGATGAAATTGGATCAGAAACATTTTTTATTGAACAAAAAATTTGGTTTGTTTTTCTAAAAAAATTAATCGTATAATTAAAGTGTTTTTTTTGCCCTTTATTATTGTTATTATTATTTAGCCCTAACCCAATCCGCAGCCGTCGGATTTAAAAAAGAAAGGGACCCACTTCAATTTGGGGAGGCGTCCAGCGATTTACAGTGGACGTCACCGCACCTGATAATAGGCATTACAGCCGGGAGATTCATAAAGACCAACCGAAAACCCTACGGAAATTAGGAAGAAAAAGAAAAACCTTCTTCCTTAAACCCTAGAAACGCAAGTGGAGGTGACCGAGGATGAAGACCGTCACCGGAAGGGTCATCTCTTCGAAGCCAATCTCTCTCTCCAAGGCGGCGTCCACTCTCTCCTCGTTCCTGTCCACCGATAATGGCGCTTCTCCAGCATTCTGTGCGTACCTGAGACGCGCCTCCGCCTCTTTCAATGAGTTGAAGCAGCTACACAAGGAGCTGAAGTCTTCGCGGTCCGATCGGAAGCACCGGCATCACAGATCTGAGGTTTTTAGTGGCTTAGAGGTTGCCGTGGATGAAACATATCGGAGTGAGGCGAGTCATGGGATCAATCATCGGATCGAAGGCGGCGAGAAGAAGAACTCTTCCGTATCTGAGAGCAAAAGCGGGAAGAAGCGGCGGGATAGTAGGGACCGAACTGAGGATAAGCCGGCCCTCAGTGTCCAATCTGATCGAGAATCAGGCCGTGAATATCGAGAGGACGCGCGGGCGGATGGAAAGAGGAACGGGAATGGTGGTTTTGAGGGTGTAATAGGTGAAGATGGAAAGAGAAGGAGCGACGAATTGAAAACAGAAGTTGAACGTAAGCCTAGCCGGAGAGTTGAGATGGATGTGGAATCAAGCGATGGAGTTAAAAGCAGTGTAGCAGTTGAGAGTAGGAGAAAAAAGCACAAGAAAAAGAGCGAGGAAGAACATGGTAAGACTGGTGATGATGAACGTGATGCTGGAGCCAGACAAAGCTATAGCAAATCACGAATTAGTGATAATAACGGCGAGATTGAAGCTGCTGCGGGGGATCTCGTTGAGAACAATGTAGCAAGGGGAAAAGATAGGAAGAAGGACAAGAAGAATGTGGGTGATGAGAGGGATAAAGTAAGGAGTGAAGGTCGGAGAAGAAGAGACGTCGAGGCAGAAGAGACCGCGGATAAGAACAACGGTGATTGGAAGGACCTTGTGGAGCTGCCGACCAAGAAGAATAAGAAGAAGAGGGAAGAAGATGCTGGCGATCTTCAAAATAACAGTGGAGGCGCTGTAGAGAGAAAGGGAATGCCAGTTTTGGACAGTAAAAAATTGAAAAGAAAAGAAAAGAAAAAGAGGAAGAATCGAGACTTAGAACGAGGGGGTGGCGGTGGTTCAGAGGAGCAGCAGGGTACAAAGAGAAGGAAAGGAAATTTATGAGACAATAATGGATGAACTTTTAACCTTTTCCCGATGATGATTTATTAGTTGGTGAAGTTTAGAAGAAGGGGTGACGATGGTTTAGAGGAGCAGCTGGGTACGAAAAGAAGGAAAGAAAATTTATGAGATAACAATACTTTTCCCAATGATGAATTGTTAGAAGTTGATGATTCCATGGGCTGACAGTGTTATACCCAAAGCTTCTGCTTACCAATTGCTGTCACTGGTAATTGTTTCGACGGTTAATATCATCGTTCTATTTAGATTCTTTATACAAAAAACATTATCAATCTATTTAGGAAGCTAATTTTGTGTTCCTTTTAGTGAAAATGGGAATATTAGCACCCTTTTCCCCCCTTCTGGGCATTGGTTTATTTTGTAATTGATTTCTCAACTATTTGATTAATGAAAGCTTCCTGTGTTCTTGGTTGTTTTTTCATCTGTTTGTTGTATATACTAACTTTTCTGTCTGAATAAGGAGCTCATTGATCTCCGATGTATATTTGGAAGAAAGAAGAACTGTGTGAAAGACAACTATTATACGCAAAGAAAAAATAGATGGTACTGATTTGATGCTTATACTATAGCATCAGGTAACACTCAGCTGTCTGTCATTTATTTTGAATTGATGGTAAAAGATAAGCAATTTGGTCAAGAGATGGATCATTCTGCGTTGGCCAAAAGGTTTTGTGCTTGTTTCTCATGACGAAAATTGTTCTTCTTTGAGTCATCTGCTGACCAAACAAATATACCATGAAGTTCGCCCCTGCTTTGAAGGATGCTGCATGCTTTAAAGAACCCTTTTTCCGGTGTCAAACCGCCACTTCCATCTGTAGCAAAGCTTGCTAGAACATTTCCACCTTGATAATTGGAGCTTTGGGTCTTAAAATGATTCACAAACTGAGAAACTGTGGTACCTTTATCATAGGAATAGAACTGGAAGTTGACATAGTCTATTAGATGTCCGTACTTCCTCCACAAAGCTAAGTAATGAGACTGCACAGTGTCATCCTCGAACGGTGCTATGGATGCAAACGAGATGACATTATGGTGTTTCAGACGAAGTAGGAGCTGCCCTATGCACTCGGTAAATGTATCGGGGTCTGCTTTGAAGTGTTCATAATCGATGTCAACCCCATCCAGATGATACTCCTTCACTATACGAGAGATTGACTTGAAAGCATTTTTAACCCAAGATTTGACAGATTTGGGTTTGAAGTAAGCAAATTCTTTGCCGACCGTATCACCCCCGAGGCTGACAGCAAACTTGATGTTTGAATGCCGAGCCTTGATGGAAGAAACAGAAGAAGGCGAGAGGTTTTGTTCGTCCCAGAAGACTCTGAATTTGCCGTTGGTCGCAGAAGGAGAAGATAAACCGGTGTAATCGATGGCAAAGGAGAGAATGAAGTGGAACTCTACATCAGGATGAACAGGTACGTCTGAAAATCTTACATTTCCATCAGCTCCTATGTATTCTCTGAAGAGTCGTGTGTTATTTTTGGGGGCTGCCTCTAGTGATGGAAGTATGGCGCTTAGGAATTGTAGAAGTGAGAATAGGAAGAATATTCGAGAACCCATAGTAATTGGTTGAAGCTGAATGATTCTTCTTCTATTTCTAAACCATTGATGCATATATTTAAAGTCTGGTGGGGAAATGGTGGATTTGGGATTTATCTATGTGAATTTGTACATTATAGCCAAGAGAATCATAAGATGCCTCATGGGCAATGGGACGGCAACTAGGCGGCAACGGCAACCGAATTGTCAGTTATGAATTAGAATTTATGTTTGAGATTCACTAGAACCTTGTTTTGTCTCAAGAACATTTATTATTATTTTGTAGAAAACAATGGTTCCTACTTCCTAGGCTTTAACCATCGGTCTATAGTTTGAATAAAGCTTTCTTGTATTATATATAATACATCGAAGTGTAGTTCTCTACCCTTGTATCTTGTTTGTACTTTGTCAATCCGAGCATAGCTCATGTGGATAAGGCATTTATCACCATTCCAATGGTTAATGTTTCGATCTCTACTTTGGCAATTGTTGGGTAAAAAAAAGTATTTTTGTTTGTCTTTTTGGTACTCGTACAAAAAAAAAAAAAGAAATATGGGAGGTGGCCACCATGATTACTCATTGATCACTTGGGCCATCCCATGATAGTTCCTACTTTTATTTTAAGCTTGATATTTTGATAATATCTCATGATTTTAGCCTCTATCAATAGTTAATATAAGATAATATGACGTTATTAGTAAATTGACAAGCAGTAATGACATTTATGGTTGGTTATGGGCGGCTAGTTTAAAGCATATATGTTGTTATAAAGTTAGGGTGGCTATTTGCTATGACTACTTAAAATTGTTGGGGCATCTTTGAATCTAAGTGGATCAGGTTTAGTGGAAGGATATTTTTCTTTTTCATTTATTTCTTCTGCTTATTAATGTAAACATATGATAAATTTAAATGCAGTTATATATAAAAAGGTGAATGGTAATTAAGTCCCTAAACTTTGACTCTTTTTTTTTTCTTGTTGAGATGTGTGTTTTGGGTTTTTTAATGCTCATTTTGATAATATTTTTTTTTGTTTTATGTTTTTAAAATTTCTCACAATTTCTTCGCATTTATTTAGAACACGTTTGAATTCTTAGCCAAATTTAAAAATTTCCAAAACGTGGTTTAGATTTTGAAAACGTTTATAACAACGAGAGTGGTTCTTGTAAGCTTAATTTTCAAAAATAGAAAGCTAAAAACAAAATGCTTATCAAACGGGTCTTTTCAAACTTGGAATTTTAGTTATATCTCTAAGTTTTGGATTATGCTTCCATTTAATTCTCATCGACAAAATGTAGAGACAAGATATTGAACCTTGATCTTTAGAGAATGAAATAGGTACCTTAATCACGAGATATGGAAATGCTTTGATCCACACAATCGAACGTTGGCCCATGGTTTCGGAGAGGTCGCTTATTTGAGAAGCTTGTTTCCCCACAAGAATTTCACTTTCTGTTTGAAGTTTTAGTTCTTTTATGAAGTCATTATGAAAAGAAAAAGTTTCATTTTAATAGGTTAAATTCTATTAACAATCCAAAACGAAAAAAAAAATACATTCATTAAGTCCTTTTTTATATGTGCTATCTATAAGAACATACCTCTCATTTAATTGATTTAAATTTTACTAATTTCTTATGGCCATTAATTTTTCATTGAAGTTAAATTTATTCACTAATAACAAAGATGTGAAGATACAGATCTGAAAAGACATTTATTATTATCAAAGAGTATTATAAAGTTTAGCACTGGGGAAGATCGGACGGTTGGGAACAACTTTTGACTGGAGAGTCTTCTATTTGAAACCACTCAACTCTAAAGTCTCTAGGCCACTTCAAATACCTCTTCATTTATTTTAGTACCAGTAGTACGGATCAACACCATTAATTTTTCATACTATTTTAACTTATTATAAGTCATGTTAATGATATTTAAAAGCATTTACTATTATAAGTCATTTTAATGATATTTAAAATCTTTTTAAATTTTGTACTATGGTTCGAAAAGTTATAATTTAGTCCTTATAGTTTGAATTTAGGTTTCAATTTTGCCTCTATTATTTAAAAAAAGTTACAATTTGGTTCTTATGGTCTGAGCTTAGTTTCAATTAGTTTTTATAATTTTTTTTAAATCAAATTGGTCCATGTAGTTAAACCTTAGTTTCAATTTATTAGTTTGATTAATCTCATGAGTCCCTATTTTCTTTAAATTTTTTACTCAGCCCTAAACTCTAAATAAATATATCTATATATATATAATGGTAGGGACAATTTGTAAAGTTTGACTCAATAATAAGGAGAATTTCAAAATCATAAGGACCATATTAAAGCTTCCTTCAAATTAGAGGACCAAATTTATAATTTAACTGGAAAAATTCTCATGCTAAATATTTTTCCCACAATAAGATTTCTTAAACTCTTAATCATTCCTTCCATCAGATCTCATTGCCTTTCTTACCAAATTTCCATTGCGTTTCAATACCTCTTTTGAATTTGGCATCTTAATTATGTGCCTAGAAACTTCACATTGGTGTGTAATGTACACAACAACCTATTAGTTCAATGTAAAATTTTGTACCAACATTTTAGGATTATGGCTCCAATATACAGTATTTCTCTCTTTTCATAGATTCAATATTAGAAGACACACTACAGTGTTCTCTTTTCTTTTTGTTATCTTCTACAATATATTCTTTTTTAATAAGAAAACTTATGATTTTAATAACTTTCTTAGGCGTTCGTTTGAGCATAGATCAACAGTTGAGATATATATTCTCGACGAAAGTCAAAAGTTCAAATTCCCAATTCCACATGTTGAATTAAAAGAAGAAAAAAAAAACTTTATTAAGATGCGTAAATATACCCGGAACCGGATAGCCACCGATTCTCTAGAAGGCACTCCCACTACACTTTGGGTTGACGAGAATGTATGGGCCTTTTGGCCCATGGGAGGCCCTATTCGTCTGGTTGAACGGGCCATTGGGCCCATGACAGGCCCGATTCAACTTTCTTGGGGACATACGACGGAAACTGAGCGCGTGCCCAAGCTGCGTTGTACCTTCCACTAATTTGGGTCTATTTTCAAGTCTTACGTGGCGAAAATAATTCCTAATTTTTTAGCCTAGAAATAGAGATATGAAAGGTTCAATTTAACTTAATAGAGAAAAAGTTGATCTATAAGCAAATGAATAATTCCCCTTGACTTGAGATCATAAATTCAGATTCTAATCCATATAGACACAAATAGTCCAACGAGAAAACTAACGTTTTTTATCGATGATATATTCATTAACCAATTCAAATATGCTTAAAGTTAGCAAAATTTATTAGTTAATTTCAATAATAAAAATATATAATGAAGAATAATATACCAAATTAGATTTAATTACAAATAAGTTTATTGCTTTTTTGTTTTTTAAAAAAAGTTTATTGTTTTTAAAATATAAATTAAATAAAAAAAATATTATGATAAAGGTTAAAAATCCCACATATAAAATATAAAACCTATCTAAGTTTATTAATATATCTGGAGCCCCATGAATATTAATATTGTATTTTAAAAATGGATTTAGAATAAGATCAAGGATCCTCACAAGGATTTTAATACATAAGACACGAAACTCAAAATTTTCCATTAGCAAAATCGTTAAATTTTTAATATATTTATACATTTGAGGGTAAAATTGAAAATTTTAAAATATTAAAGAGTAAACAGAGAAAAAACCTAAAATGTTATGACCATTCGGTATATTTATAAATATATATATATATATACCACCACACTATACGTAGACGCAAACCCCCTTTGTTAACCTATGTGTGACTCTCACTGCATACGGCTCGCACAAAGACTTCTAAATTCATCCCGAGCTTTTTTTTCCACCTCTCCTCTCCCATCCTCGATCTATATATATATATATATATATATATATATATATATATATATAACGTTAAAAAAATTTCATTATAATTATTAATAATTTTGGCATTAAAAGGCTATAAAAAAAATAAGAATAATAATTTACTAAAAAAAAGAATAATAATAGGTTGGCATAAAAAGTATTGCCTTGAAGCCTTTAAGTATAGCAGAACAGCCATCCATGGTACCAAAACGCGTCGAGGCCTATTGGCTTGATGGGTGAATTGAGCTTTTCAATTTGTCCTACATGTCATGGGTTCGACTCGTTTAGGTAGAAAGAATATGGAAAAAAGATGATACTTTAACATTTATGAGGTATATTATAAAATACCTTTTTTAGCGAATATGTATATTACGATAGAGCTGAGAGTTGAAGGTAGTCATGCACCAGGGCTTTCAAAGGAGAGTTTTAGAGTGGGGCGAGCTCGTGTGTGGCTCTCAGCTTTTCTCCTAAACCGACTTCGAAAACTATGTAGCCTTAATCACAAGTGATAAATTTACCTAACATCTCAAGACCCCAACATAGAAGACAATATTGTTAGATTTAGGAGCCTTTGAAAATATAGGGCCCGTTTTATAACGTTCAAGTTTCTTGTTCCTGTTTCTTTATTTTTTAATGAAGAAAAATTTATCGCATGATTCCAATCTCCAACAATTAAAGTATGATAAAACAATTTTTCTATTTATGTTTTGAAATAAATTAGAAATGAGAACAAGAGAGGAGAAACTTGTTTTGATTAATTTTAAAATTTCTATACAATTGTGAGAGTGTTCCCAAAGAATGAAAAACAAGAAATAAAGTTAGTTGCAAAATGTTTAGATTTCTTAAGAAAATTAAAAACGAAAAACAAGAAACGTTACCAAACGGACCATAATTTCTATGTTTGTGGCACGTACTCCCGAGAAAACTTCAGTTTGTTTAAATGATATGTTTTAAACTTTTATCAAACACAACAGTAGTATTAAGACACATCTATTTTCAAACAAATGGCAAAGTTCGGTGATTTATTTTTTGTACTTTAGCTTCTTTTTCCACAAATTAAGAATATTATAAACAACTACATAATAAAAAACATCAAATAAAATAATCTTAAATATCTTTTTTTAGAACAATTCTATGGAACTTAGGTAATTTGAGCACAAACTCATTAATAACTAATTAACTAGTTAAAATATATATATCTACAATCAAAAAGTCGTAAATTCGAATATCTACCTTTACGTAGTGTACTTTTCAATAGCAACATTTTCAAAATTTAAAAATAAACACTACCTCAAAAAACTCAAAAACCCCGAAAATAAAACTCACCAACTTGACCTAATATAATTAAGTAGCTAGCTTTATTAACAACCAAAAACTCCAAAGATTAAAAGCTAATAAAAAGATACTTTCCTCTAATAAAGAGAAATTTGGGTTCAGAAAAAGCAAAATTAAGGTATGGCCAAAATCCAAGCAACTCTTTTCTCTGCATCAGAATACAAACTTTTTGACATTGCCAAGAAAGGAATGGCAGCTTTCTTTCTTATTTAGTGAGAGAAAGAGAGCGAGCGGAATTATACTTTTTATTCTTTTTTCTTCTCCAATCCAAAACAGAGAATTCCGATGGGTAATTCCGGCGGAACACCGCCGTCATTCTACGCCGTTCTCCTAATCTCTCTACTGTCCGCCGGCGAAAGTCTCGTTTCAAACGATACGGTACGGAAATCAATATTTTTTTGGAAACGCTAATTAAATAAAAAAAAGTAATATTTTTCTTGTATTATTAATTATCTGAATTTGTAGAAAACTTGTATGTACGCCGTCACCGTGGAAACAACCTGCACGAAGGGCGCCGACACGTCGAACCACGTCAGCCTGAGGTTCGGCGACACGAACTCGAACGACATTGTCGTAAGACGTTTGAATTCAATGCACGTGAAGAGGGTGGACCCTTTGGAGCCTGAAGTTCTGGACGACATGTCGAGAAAGCCGTTCCAAGCTTGTATGGTGGATCAGTTCCAAGTGACCGGAAAATGCGTGACCTCGCCGGTTTGTTACGTCTACCTAAAACTCGCCGGCGCCGACGACTGGCGGCCGGGATTCGTCAAAGTCCGGTCGCTGGAGGGCCCACATCTTAGCTCTGGTTATTTCTATTTCCGACGTGTATTGCCTCGGCACGTGTGGCATGGCTTCGACACGTGTGGAGGCGAAGTCACTCCTTTTGGGATCAAACACCATAGAAAAGTCTTTGCAGCAAGCAAACATTTCAGGCATAAGCTTAATTAAATTCCCCCAAAGTATTAATTATGTTATTAAATTGATCAATTTCTTACATTGCTATACATTTTTAATTGAATAATTATCTTATTTTATGCATTCAAGTACGTCCCTGATAATTTTTTTTTTTTTGTTAGATTATGGTATATTTGAATATCTTTTATTGATGGGAGAAAGTATTAAAATTACTGAATTTAAAGGGGAAGTTGGGAAATCTGAAAAAGTTGCATCAGCAATAAATAGAAAACAGAAGAGGGGGAAGTGGTCGAATTAAATGAATGTTTATTTATCTTCTTCATTAATAAGAAAAGAAAGAAAAAAAAAAAAGAAACAACAAACAGACGATTACAGAGATTTGGTGAAACGGTGATGGAAAGTTGCATTCAGAATATTTACTACTTTTTTTGTATACGTTGGTAGATGTGACTGATCATTAATTCCCTTTGTCTCCTTCGTTTTGTGCCTTTAGAAAAAAAGAAATGTATATTTTTATATAGTCATTGCCCTATTAAACGGTTGAAAAATTTAAACTTATTCGTGTTACATTATATTATTTAAATTAAATATAATTTGGATTATATTATTTATATTTAAATTTGAATTTAAATAATAATTTTTTTTTATTGTATTAGTATAAATAAGTTATCATATATTGTATCTAAATTGAAGAACAGAATAAAATCCTTGGTTTATGTCTCTCTTATTTTATCGCCTTCTCTAAATTTAACAATTTGTTTATTTGAGTAATTTACGGGATCAGAAAATTTTCAATTTTTACGATTCCTCCAGGTGTAAAAATTTAAACATTACCTTTGTTTGGGAGATTAAACATTACATTTTTTGCATAAAAAAAATCTGATAATTTTCTCAAAACTAACTCATTTTCGAAGGTTACACAAAATGTATTCTACTAATTTTCTAGCCTTACACAAAATTCATCTTGCACAATTTCATCTCATAATAAACCTCCGATCTCATGGAAATTAAGGAGTAGGAGTAGATGCTATCATTTATTAACTTTGTATTTAATAATATGAAATTTGAAATTTTATACTTTTGTATCAAGTATTTTTAATCAATATTTTTTTTTTGTCAAACTAAAAAGTTTTATTTTTTAAGTGTTATATATTAATATTATAGTAAATTTTTAATTATTTGGTAGTAGTGTTAGGTGAAATTAATATATTTTCAATAGTTTAAGTATATTTGGTAGATAGTGATTCGAACTCTCTGATTTTGATCGGAGATAAGTATCTTAACAAATTGAATATTATTTAAGTTGTAAAATAGATTTTAATTGAATGCGTATAAATTTGTAAAATAGCAATGCAAGAAACATCCAAATTAAATCAACTAATAATAATGTATTTTTTTATGAGTGCAGCTTGGATGGAAAATCGCTTGAAGATCGGCCTTGGATGGTTAGTCGCTAATTGGAAAGTTAAAATTGTTCTTGATAGCTGTATATTTGTTAGCGAGAAAAAAATAAGAAATTAGATTTCTAGAGGCAAAGCCACTCTACAAATGACTCAATGAGTAGAAGGAAATGGAATATGTTAAAACAACGCTGTTTGATCACGAAAATGATCAAGCTAACAAATTTCGACTCGGATCGAAAGACGATTTGGAGGACAAGTTGAACGTACTTTAAATAGGGAACTTGCAAAACAGACACTCCAACACCCAAGTCAAAAAGTATCTGAACTGTATTAAAGAGAAAATATAGTGTTTGTGTACCTGGGATGGAGGCATGTGGTTTCTATTTATAGACGAGGCATCCGACATGACTAGATAACCGTGAAATACAGTGTGTTGTCGAGGGATGTGTTGGAGAATGAGGTTGAGCGAGACAATTCCTGGTCGTTTCAACCAAATAATGGGACAAGACCTAAGGAAGGCTTGGTCGGCTCGGCCTCATGGAGCATCGGCTCAGTAATAAATTTTAAGACCGAGGTGATGGAACTTGGCCTTATGGACTCAAGGCAAGGTGTAGTTTTCTTCAAATCAAGATGTGCCACATGTGAGGTAAAAATTCACCTCCAACAAACACAATGATATAATTTTGTCCGTTTTGACATAATTCTCACAATTTTGTTTTTTGTCACTTAAAAACCTCATAACAATAGAAATCATTGTCCTCGCCTATGTATCATAGATCATCATTTTCTCTATTTAATGTGAAACTTTGTTTGCACTCTTTTCGATCTTTATAGAATATTATTCGATTATAGCTTAAATCAACTCCTTCGAAGTAGTCCACCTAATAAATGAAGAAGAATAAAACATCACGGAGATATGCATGCTTGATATTCGATGAAGGAAAATCACTAGAGATAAAAATAACCTAGGATTATTATTGAGTTGTGCTCTATATAAAATAGAAGGTTAAATTACCACTTAATTCAAAAGTTTAAACGAATTACGGTAAATTTAATAATTTATCAACATTTTATGAGTTAAAATAACAACATCGATTACCCGTTTATCAATATTTTAACCATTGGTTTAAAAAAACAAACACAGTAATTCGTTGGTTGATAGTATAAAAGTATCAAATTAAATATAAATTGAGTTAAAATGACGTGGGATCTTATGATGCAATGTCAGCTTTTCAATTAGCGTCTTGGTGATTGACAAAGTACACAGTAAAGAACTAAATTACAATTGAAAATTAAGCTTTTTTATTTCATGAGATGTGGAAAAATGAATTTTCATAGTATACTTTTTCTAATTTAAATTTTTGGGCTTATGAATTATAATTGTAAAGTGGTAAGCAATAAGCATGGGTTTGTTTGGCATGACCGCAGTACGGCTCTGTTTGAATGAGCTGACCGATTTGTTTCCCGTCCTGCCCAATCAATCACTCCATGCATCATGCAATGCCCACCTCAACTTTATTGCATTCTCGTTTTCTTTCGCTTTTTCTAAATCCCATTTGTTTATTTTTTATACCATACATTTTTTAAATTAATTTTTCTTTTTTTAAAAAAAAAATCCATCTTTTAAAGGCTTCCAAAACACTCTTTTTTAGTAGATAATATACTAATTACCGTTACAACTTATCCCTCTAAATTCGTGGAATGGATCAACTAAACATCCTTTAAATAGATATTGTGGGATTTTTTTTATTATTGAAATTGTCGAATCTAATTATTGAATAGGGTCGATCAAAGTCAAAGTTGAAGTCCAAATTGAAACTCAACCAAAGGAAGAGACACCCGAAAACGCACAAATATCATGATGTCGAACCAGAGACACATTAGAGCTTATTTTTACAAAGTTCTCATTTGTTGTTTCTCAATTCAAAATATTGAGAAACATAAGAATTTGGTAACTGTTCTTATTTCTGGACGAGAAGCGTTTCAAAAATTATGCAGAAATTTTGGAAACAATAAAATAAATGGGTCTTTTTTATTTTCAATTTTTGTCAAAAATATAGATAAAAAGTATTATTTCATCCTTTTTTATTCATAAAATTATAGAAAACAAAAAACAAGAAAAAAGTTACATAAATGTGTTTGGGTTCTTTTTCCAATAAAAGATAAAAAGTTAACCAAATGATCAAATTATTTTTTTCTTGATTGAAAAAAAAAAGAACAAAAAACAATGAACAAAGAAGAAGATTATCCAACAGACCTTTAGAGTACGACTTTAGATTCATGGGCATTGCATATTTCCAAGGGCATGGGCCAGTGCTAGAGGAGAGTTACAAAGCATTCAAGTTTAGGAGGGTATTTGTGAGCAATATAATATAATGATTTGATTTTGGTAGAGAGAAAAAAAAAATCGTTTTGAGAAAAATCTACAAATTTTATACATATTGACACATAATCGTGAGGTTTGTATTGTTCTCTTCATGTAATATTTTATCATTACAGTGGACCTACAAGGCTACAACATTTATAAACGACGTGACATAGTACAGTAAAATTTGTACGATTATCTTTATTTTATTTCCCTCTTTAACATTTTAATATTAATATTTATCACACATGTACAAGGATAGTTTACGATAATGCAAATTTTTCAAATTTCATAACGTTTTCTTTTGAAATGTGATAAAGATATATATATAAAAATAAGGCATATATATAATATGTAATGGGAAAAAAAATCAATTTTTAACCCTAAACATGAAAATGTGTATAAGTTTTGACCTATGAAATTGGACCATAGACTTAAATAAAGGTAAATTATTACTATAGTTCAACTTCTATTATAGGGAAAAAAAAAAGAAGGTTAAAATACTATTTTTGTATATGTACTTTCGATTTTGATTTTTTTTTATCTCTTAGTACATTAAAAATTATTCAATTTAGTTCATTTTAGTCATTTTAAAATGTTTGTTTTTGTACTTTTTAAAATGTTTTTTTGACACTGTAGTCTCTTAATTTTACTTTTAATCTCATTTTTGCTATTGCAATTTTAACACGACAGTTATACTACTCAATATATATATTTATTAAAGTGTAACCATGACTATATTAACTAGTTTATGTTATATGTAGAATTTGTATTAATAGTTTAAAAATAGTGAGACCAAAATGGTCACTTTTATAAGTACGAAAACCAAAACGAACATTTAAATGTATAAGACAAAAATGAATCGAAGTTTTTTTTTTAGTACAACATATAGGGTGGGGTTCGAACTCACAACTCCTTAATTGGAGATATATGCCAATTACCAATGAGTTATGCTCGTCTTGGCAAAAATAAACTGAAGTTGAGAGTATAGAGACCAAAATGAAGATCTAAAGTCGTTTTTGTTTGAAACCTCTTCCATTTCACTCCAAACACGTGATTATATTTCCTTGAATGCATCTAGAATATTTGAAGAATACTTTAAAGGTAAAAATTCCAACATCTATTTAAACTTAAAGTGTGAAAAAAAAAATGGAAGGTAAAAAGTGAGAATTGAGTTTTTGAATATGGCAAATAATAGGGTAGGAAAGAAGGACACTATAATTACGAAATGATGACGGAGAAGAGAAATGGTACTCTCTACTTTGATCAGAAGGGAGATGACCACAGCCTGTTTTTACATTAGGAACCGTCCAATCACCAATTCAATCCCATGCAAAACACACGAC